GAATTAGCATACTAAATGATCACTTATGAACATCCTTTGACAAAACCAGAAAATCACGTTGCTGACTCATACGATTTCGGAGATAAGGATGCCCTGACACCTGTTTTCCCTCCTTTAAAAAGAGATAATCGAAATTTCGTCTTACACGTGTATAATAGATTTAAACAAAGAGTATTTTTGCCAAATCTCGTCCCTCGAGATCTAACAGGTTTTGTAAAAGCCTGGATATTTCGACCCCCTTTTTTACAACCATGGGGATCGAATTTAAATAATTCTCGTGTATAATTAAAAAGAAAATGTTGAATTAAAAAGAATGAAGAATTATAAAGTTAATCTATGTACAGATTAGCGAAATAAAACCACCTGTTATGTTAATAAATAAACATTCAAATTAATAAACATGACGACACGAACCCACGCAGATTCTGGAATAAATGGCAAAAATGCGCAGAAATGTAAAGGACTACCCTAGTAGAATAATTTNATGAAATTATTCGATAGTGTTTATACATTAGCGAAAAAAATATCGCATATTAAATGAAATTATTCGATAGTGTTTATACATTAGCGAAAAAAATGTCGCATATTAAATGAAACTATTCGATAGTGTTTATACATTAGCGAAAAAAATGTCGCATATGAAATGAAATTATTCGATAGTGTTTATACATTAGCGAAAAAAATGTCGCATCGATAACAAGTGCGGTATTTCCAGGTGGTGAGTCCTGGTCGCTCCTTCAAAGAGACGCACAATTAATCAATTCCCGTCGATAGCTGACGATTGACAACCGACGATCTCGTTCTTGTTTTCCTTTGACAAGCGGTACCACGTGCTGGATGATGCTCGATCCGGCTTAGCGTATGAAAGTCAATTGCGTCGAGTGTTTGTCAACTGTCCCTTATGCAATGCCATACATGAAATTGCCATGAAATTGCTCCAGAAAGTCCGAGAGACATGAGCGACAATTTTCCGGGTAAAATTAGGCCTCGCCATTTTGCAAATGCTACGAGAACTACTGAATTAAGGTGGAGTGAAACCCCCCTCAAATAAATCGCTTCCAATGAGACACTAATGGGGTTTTACTTCACCTTAAAGTAATTTGTTTCAAAAATCCAAATTTTGAAAGTGTCATGATAATTCCTAAGTACCCACGAGCCATGTGTCAAAGTTTCAGACAGTTCGGTTCAATACCCTTAAAAAAAGGTCTTATTCGAGTCGACTGATGTGAGAGAGGTTTCACTTCACCTTAAAATAATTTCTTTCAAAAATCCAAATTTTGACAGTGTCAGGATAACTCCTAAGTACCCACGAGCCATGTGTCAAAGTTTCAGTTAGTTCGGTTCAATACCCTTAAAAAAAAAGTATCTTATTTAAGTCGATTGATTTGAGGGGTGGTTTCACTTCACCTTAAAATAATTTCTTTCAAAAATCCAAATTTTGACAGTGTCAGGATAACTTCTAAGTACCCACGAGCCATGTGTCAAAGTTTCAGACAGTTCGGTTCAATACCCTTAAAAAAAAGTATCTTATTTAAGTCGATTGATTTGAGGAGACGAGTTTCACTTCACCTTAAAATAATTTCTTTCAAAAATCCAAATTTTGACAGTGTCATGATAATTCCTAAGTACCCACGAGCCATGTGTCAAAGTTTCAGACAGTTCGGTTCAATACCCTTAAAAAAAAGTATCTTATTCGAGTCGGCTGATTTGAGGGGTGGTTTTACTTCACCTTAAAATAATTTGTTTAAAAAATCAAAATTTTGAAAGTATCAGGATAACTCCTAAGTACTCACGAGCCATGTGTCAAAGTTTCAGTTAGTTCGGTTCAATACCCTTAAAAAAAAGTGTCTTATTCGAATCGACTGATTTGAGGGTGGGGGATTTAACTTCCCCTTAAAACGTTATGATATGATGACATTTACAATATTCTGAAGGATATCATAAAGGTAGTAATGCATAATAACATTCAAGGGCGCAGACATCTTTCCAGACTCGGAAGAAGGCGAAGAGGTCGAGAATCGCGACCTCGAGTCGCGTTTCACGCGAGCACTTTTTACTTTTATTTTATCGAGGCAACAGTAAAATCCTACCCACACGTGACCCAAATGCGATTGATCGAACGGGAGGGCGTCAAAGAAATAAAAAACATGTACGTACAGAAAGGGAAGAAAAAAGAAAAGAAAAACAAGGAGAATTAATAAAAGGACACGCGAACTCGGAAATTGCCGCGCGCAAATCGCGCTGATTTATCGATCGGCAAATCAAATATAAATCTAAGGCCTGTCCAACTTTGGCATGTTTTAATTAACTATCGACATCCATTCTACCGATCTGGAGCATTCGATGGAAATTCGAGGCCTGCGAGTCTAAAAAGTTCTGCACAATTCTGTCATTTCAAATGCTATCCCAAATGAATCACTTACTCTTAAGGTGATATAAAAGAGTCATTCTATATACATATATGTATGTATGTATATATTACGATAAAATATTTATAAAACTTTACTCCAAACTGGGTGCACCGAATCATTTGACATTTTAACACATGATTATGGAGGCCCTAAGGAAGAACGCAATGCTCATGAAATTTTATTTTTCAATAAAAAATATACGATCTTGGTTTTAGTCTAGGCTGAAAAGTATTTTCTTTTAAAAATGAAATTTCACGAGCATCGCGTTCTTCCTTAGGACCTCCGTAATCACGTGTTCAAGTTTCAAACGATACACCCAGTTTGGAGAAAAATGTTATGGATATATTTTTACCTTCTGATATGTAGAATGACCCTTTCATATCACCTTAATTGTATGAAATAAGCGTTGGGAATTTTTTGCAAGCAGTGAATACAACACAGGCATCATGGAAACGAATCACTTGTTTTAACGTGAATTGTTACATTACCATCGCTATCAAACGATACGGTGCACCCAGTTTGAAGAAAAGTGTTATGGATATATTTTTACGTTCTGATATATAGAATGACCCTTTCATATCACCTTAATAATAAAAAATAAGCGTTGGGAATTTTCTGCAAGCAGTAAATACAACAGAGGCATCATGGAAACGAATCACTTGTTTTAATATGGGGTTTTCTCTCAAATTCGAAAAAATAAGCAAAAACAGCTGATACCTTTCAAATGCTTCCCCGATAAGACTGGCCCGAGTGCCGAGAAAATGTTGCATTTTTTCAAGATTTTATTTTTCAATAAAAAAAAATATGATCTTGGTTCTAGTCTAGTCTAAAAAGAATTTCCTTTGAAAAATGAAATTTCACGAACATCGCGTTCTTCCTTAGGGCCTCCATAATCACGTGTTCAAGTTTCAAACGATACACCCAGTTTGGAGAAAAGCGATATGGATATATTTTTACATTCTGATATATAGAATGACCCTTTCATATCGCCTTAATTGTATGAAATAAGCGTTGGGAATTTTTTGCAAGCAGTGAATACAACACAGGCATCATGGAAACGAATCACTTGTTATAACATGGGATTTTCTCTCAAATTCGAAAAAATAAGTAAAAACAGCTGATACCTTTCCAATGTTTCCCCGATAAGACTGGCCTTTTTCAGTCTCATTGCCCCAGGTCAGGGGCGACTCATTGGTAGTTACATTACCATCGCCGTATTTAACTTCAAGTGCATATTGCGCTCGGACTTTATAGCCACTTTTTCTGATCCTTTTATTCCCCTCAGGCGATCGCCTCTTCAAAACGCGACTGTTTACCTAAGTTGTGACACAACGTTCGATGAGTATGGAAATTTTCAAGAACCCAAGGAAATCCGGAGTTTCGAGAATACCGCAAATTTCGAGCTGGGATTCAACTTAACAGCCTTGAATCTGCATTATTCACACGCTCCTTAAGGTGACATGAAACCCCCCTTAAATCAGCCGACTCGAATAAAACACATTTTTATTTAAGGGTATTGCATAAAACCCTCTGAAACTGACTTATGACTAGTGAGCGCCAAGGAAATATCCTGACACTTTCAAAATTTGGATTTTTTAATTTATATTCAATGACCCTTTCATATCACCTTAAGGTGAAGTGAAAACCCCTTAAATCAGCCGACTCGAATAAGACACTTTTTTATTTAAGGGTATTGCATAAAACCCTCTGAAACTGACATATGACTAGTGAGCGCCAAGGAAATATCCTGACACCTTCAAAATTTGGATTTTTTAATTTATATTCAATGACCCTTTCATATCACCTTAAGGTGAAGTGAAGCCGACTCGAATAAGACACTTTTTTTTAAAGGTATTGGATAGAACCGTCTGAAACTGACTTATGACTAGTTAGCACCAAGGAAATATCCTGAATCTTTCAAAATTTGGATTTTTTAAACAAATTATTTTAAGGTGAAGTAAAACCACCCCTCAAATCAACCGACTTGAATAAGACACTTTTTTTAAAGGTGTTGAATAGAACCGTCTGAAACTGACTTATGACTAGTTAGCACCAAGGAATTATCCTGACACTTTTATTATTATAATTTCAATTTTTAATTTAAATTATTTTAACTTAGGCCAGACAAGAACGAAAATGCCGTCAGCTCTCATACTTCGATCAATATACAATTATCGAAGGCTCTGATATGAGAAACGAAAGGGTCAGGACAATTGTACGACAATTTAGAACACTCTGATAATTGATTCTGTAAATCAAAACGTGAAAATATTTATATACTTTTCACAAAACTGGGTGCACCGAATCATTTGGAACCTCATCACGATATTATGGAGACCCCAAGGAAGAACGCGATGCTCGTGAAATTTCATTTTTCTAAAAAATGTCTCTCTTATTTAGCATAGACTAGAACCAAGATCACATTTTTCTTATGAAAAATGAAATTTAATATGCATCGCGTTCTTCCTTAGGGCCTCCATAATCACGTGTCAAAGTTTCAGATAATTCGGTGCACCCAGTTTGGAGAAAAGATTTATAAATATTTTGACGTTTTACACATATAAATATTTATATTTATATATATATATATATATGACCCATATTTGACCCATCCATATCACCCTAAAGTGCGAATCGAAATAGTCTTCAATCGTTGCGAGATTACTTATAACATGCGACATTAATATGCACATTCGTGATCGAGCGAACAATCGGTGTATTATTTATTATTGAGCATCTTCACTATGCAAATTATAAACCTCGGCGATTATCCGCCGATTATTCGACATCTTCCTGATGATCGTTTAACGAGTTTGCAATCAATATTAACGCGGATTTGAAATTATATGCGTATCCTAAAAATGGCCTCGAATAAGCTTCGGACAAAAAGCGTTGCGATGATAAAATGAAAAACTAATCACATTTTCGTTGATATAAATTCATTTGCATTTATAAGAGGATAAAACGCATTGCTTTTCATTTAAACGCTAGAAAATGCAGAGATATCAATAAATATAATCGAGCTGAAAACAATTTCAATGGAAGTTCCGAAAAGAAAAAAGAAATTCTTTCTTAAAGTCAAAGTCGTCAGATTTAATTCTTGTCCCGTAAGTTCAATTGTTTCCTTAAAAAATGATGAAAATGTAGAGATATCAGTGAACATAATCGAATTATAAACAGTTTCGGTGGAAGTTCCGAAAAGAAAAAAAAAAAAAAAGGGAAACGAAGTTCTTTCTTAAAGTCAAAGTCGTGAGATTTAATTCTTGCGTCGTAGGTTCAATTGTTTCCTTAAAAAATGATTATGACAGTGGTACACGTGATAGAAAAATCTAAATAGCAGTTAGCAGGCCAACAGGAAATATCTTCCGGCAATCAAGATGGCCACCCATTCAGATGTGCACGTGATGGGTCTTAGGATTGTTTGTTTCAAAGAAATAATTCATGCAATGATTACACGCGTTGAGGAAAATTCAAGTAATAGGAGGTTAAGATCAATCTATACGATAAAATCAGCGAAAAACATGGCCTGAACCGAAGCATTATTAATATTTAATTTGAAACACTTTATTGGATCGCTGTAAGCGAGTTTGATTAAGTTTTTCTGGAAGCTGAATTTCCGGAAGTTCTGAATCTGACGCGGAAGTCTTTCCCGGAAACCAAGATGGCCGCTAATTTAAACAGTATACGTACAGTCTACATATATACTACAACAGTCTACATACTTACTACAACAGTCTACATACATACTACAACAGTCTACATACACAAGAGGCTCCTTTTTTAACTTAAAGAGCTGAGATATTTTAATATTTCGCATTGAGGAAGCTAAAATGGCCGTCAATTCTAAATAATGTAAAATTCTCCTGCCTTAATAAAAAGTGGACGTAATGATTGAATATACCCTGGAAACTGAAACAACATAGTACTGGCTCAATTTCAAGGCTAAAATCCACAAAAGGCAGGTTTATTTAATTTAAAAACCGTGAATTCCGTGTATCCTGCGTCTTGGCTGCGAAGCTTCCGGAAGTCCCGCGGAGCGGCGCGGAATTCCTTTCAGCAACCAAGATGGCCGCCAATTCTAAATAATAAAAAATACTACTGCCTTAATAAAAAGTGAACGTAATAACTCCATATGCCCCGTAATATTGAAACAACAGAGAAACATTGGCCCAAGTTCAAGGTTAAAATCCACAAAAGGCTCGATTTTAATTTTTAAATTCTACTACCATATTAAAAAGTTTTTAAATTCTACTACCTTATTAAAAAGTGGACGTAACAGCTGCACATGCCCCGAAAAATTGAAACAATAAAGTAAGGGCCTAATTTCAAGGTTAAAATCCACAAAAGGCTCGTTTTTAATTCTTGAATTCTACTACCTTATTAAAAAGTGAACGTAACAGCTGCACATGCCCCGAGAAACTAAAACAATCTTTATTATTGCACATGCCCTGAGAGACTGAAACAATAAAGTAAGGGCCCAATTTCAAGATTAAAATCCACAAAAGGCAAGTTTTTACGACTTAAAAACCGGGAATCCCGGGTATCCTGCGTCTTGGTTGGGAGCTTCCGGAAGTCCCGTGGAGTGGTGCGGAATTTCTCCCGGCAGCCAAGATGGCCGCCAGTTCTAAATAATATAAAATACTACTGCCTTAATAAAAAGCGAACGTAATAACTGCATATGCCCCGTAATACCAAAACAACAGAGAAACATTGGTCCAATTTCAAGGTTAAAATCCACAAAAGGCTCGTTTTTAATTTTTAAATTCTACTACCTCATTAAAAAGTGAACGTAACAGCTGCACATGCCCCGAGAAACTGAAACAATCTTTATTATTGCACATGTCCTGAGAGACTGAAACAATTAAGTAACGGCCCAATTTCAAGATGAAAATCCACAAAAAGCAAGTTTTTACGACTTAAAAACCGGGAATCCCGGGTATCCTGCGTCTTGGTTGGGAGCTTCCGGAAGTCCCGTGGAGCGGCGCGGAGTTCCTTCCGGCAGCCAAGATGGCCGGCGGGCTTGCCGGCGCGCGATTGGCCGTCCCGATCTCGCTTTCCTATCCGGTCGCTTCGATAGGTCATATAAATGCGAGGAGCCGCCGCCGATCGGTTCAGTTTCCACGAAACGAACGCTGCGGCCGACTCGCATAGGAATGACCGTGATATCGCGCGAACACGTGCGAGTAAAGTCCCCGAAATTCGCGGGCCTCCGAAAGAGGCGAGTCTAACCTCTAATTATTTCGGGTCAACATGGCGACGAAACGTTAACCCGAAATTCGCAAAATTTCGTGCCTCTCCGAAAACAGTGCCGCCCCCTCTTCAATTTGTTAAACTAATCGTCTTGCAATTTGCATCACATCTCTCCTCAACGATATCAAATGGATTTTAAATTGTGAAATTCAGACCATTTTTTTTTCTTTTTTCTTTTTCGAAAGTGGTGCTCGATTATTAAACTCCGCTAACCCGAAACTCGGAAAATTTCGCGCCTCTCCGAAAACAGTGCCGCCCTCTATCTTCGATTTATTAAACTAATCGTCTTCCAACTTGCATCGTATCTCTCCTCAACGATGTCGAATGGATTTTAAATGTTAACATTCAGACCGTTTTCCAAGTGACGATTTTTTTCTATTTTTTTGAAAGTAGTGCTTAATTGTTCAAGTCTTTTGGTAAGACTTTGTCAACAGCACAAGGGGCTGCAAATTTATTCAGCCCGTCTGTGCATTTTTGGGTAAGTATGAATTTTTTTTTTTAAACTATTAAACTTGCGTTGGAGTATATACGTACATTATGTACATTCTCGCATATAGATATACCATCTGTACGTACATATACGCACAGTTATACATTATTGAACAATATATATATATATAATTATAAATGATGTTGCATTATTTAATAATGCATATTATTGCAAATAATGTATGTTTATTCACGTATACGATTTAACAAAATTTTGAAATTTACCTTAAGACACTTGGTAAATTTCGAAATTTCGTAAAGAGCGACTAGGACAGTAATTATTATTGTTGCTAACGTGGTGGTTTAAGAAACGTGTACACAATATAAAAAATAGACTAGTAAATAAATGGATTAATGAATATAAATATCCGTTAAAATGTGTCACTATCCTACACAGTTAGAAGGCACTATCTCAAAATATATGAGCGGTCGTGTACGTACATACATGTATAAGCACGTGTATGTACATATATTTACGTATATTATTCTCCCTATTGTTATTAATTCCACGTGCAATAATCGCTTCTGGCTCGGAGAAATATTTGGAAGAAAGTCACGCCCCTCGGCGCGTAAAAATGAAATGCAAATGAGGAAGTCCAGTTTTTAGGAAACGCAAAACGATTCTTTAATTTCACTTTGCGACGAACGGCTTAAGTTTCAGTAACTGCCACTGTAATTTCGCAACGGTATGGCTATTTTTATATTTCCATAATTAAGTAATTAAATTAAAATCAAGTCACCTTACCGACATTTATATTTATGTTGAAGTCTTTTTTAGTCTACCTTGGGAATTATACGAAATAGAATGTTCTATATGTCATTTCGGTAAAGTAATGATGAAGAGATCGATGTAAAACTGTCGAAATCCCGAGAATGCATGATTCTAACGACTGTTTAGGACCAACGTCGCCATCTGTGACGTTTAGCTGCAACTAAATTTTTGTTCTAAAAACGCATTAGCCCCGAGACAAACCAGCAATCTCTTGCAATCGTTGGGGAAAGTATTTTCCATATTTTCCCATATAACTCTGTAATATTCCATTTCTACGGTATTCTAAATTGTTGGAGCTAGATCCTGAAACTCTTTATTTTCAATTCCAACTCTCCAAGAAGCGTAAAGCATCGAAAACGTGCCCGGACCACGCCATGTTAGTTCCCGTCCATGATAAATAAATAAATTTTTGACGAAAAATAAAATTTCGTGATATTCAGGACCTACTTCAGCGCCTCCATATCCCCGTGGTAAAATTTGAAACTAATCGGTACCCCCAATTCGGAGAATACTTTCCCCAACGATTTGACTTCTCAAATATATATAGGCTGACTCTTTCATATTATCTTAATTTCTTGAAAACAAGAATTAAAAAAAAAAAAAAAAAATACTGAATTCTCATTTCGAGGCACAATAGAGATCCGATCCATGCAAAAGATTTCGCGTCCGATTTCGATACGATCGACCGACTTTTGCAATTTACGTAGTGCAATTCTTTCCGGAGATAAATTTCCTGAATACAACTTAAGGAAGAAAACGAAACAAAAAAAATTGCAATTAAATGGCCACATTACCGCCCAATCTGATTTATGCAAACGATTTCCCATTCAATTTTAGCGATCGCATCAAAGGACAGACTTCCGGTATTTATGTCAGGTATTTCTTTTTTTTTCTCCTAGAAAGATAAATTTCCTGATTACAGATTAAAAAGAAAAAATCTCCCTTGAGAGGCACAATAGAGATTCAGTTAATGCGAACGATTTAGCATACATTTCTGACGGTCGCAACAATGGACTAATTTCTTAGGATATACTTCAAGGAGATTGTTTTGTTTTTTTTTTTACAAAAATCAATAATTCACAGTGGATCGCCATAAATTTGAATGCGGAACTTATTCCGAGGTTTCGCTTGCGGCTCGATTATTATTGCACTTTTTCTGAACAGGTATTATTATATGTTAATGCACGCACGTCATCGAGGGCAATAGCAACTCTTCTTTTCTCCCGCTATTCTGTTTTTTTTTCCTTTTTTTTTCCTTATTGGCGATCTATTTACCTCGGAAACTCGACATTAAAATGACGAATCGTTATTCAATCGAGGCATCTTCGATCATATCCTTTCTTGCCTTTCCGTTCTTTTTTTAATAAAAATCTGTATATTACCTTCCAGATTCTGAAAGGCTAACAAATTGTGATTCATCCAGTCTCATTGAGATTTAATTGACAATCAACAGGTGTTCCCAAAAAATTAAAAAATTTCCATACATCCTCGGTAGATACGCTAAATCTCGTGCAAAATAATAAATTAATTGAACATTTCCAGATCTTCCCAAGAAATTCGAAAATTTGCATCTTCGATAGATACGCTAAACCAAAGTGCGAAATAATGGATTAATTGAAAATCTCCAGATCTTCCCAAGAAATTCGAATATTTCCATACATTCTTGATAGATACGCGAAAGCCCGCGCAAAATAATGAATTAATTGAAAATCTACAGATCTTCCCAAGAAATTCGAAAATTAGCATACATCCTCGGTAGATACGCTAAATCTCGTGCAAAATAATAAATTAATTGAACATTTCCAGATCTTCCCAAGAAATTCGAAAATTTCCATAAAAAAATTCATCTAGACCCTTTTTGGGGGTAATGCCGTTTTCAATACTCAAGTGGTAAGCTGGCAGGACCCATTACCGACATTTATATTCATGTTGAAGTCTTTTACAGTCTACGTTGAGAATTATACGAACTTAAGGGTTCCATATGTCATTTCGATAAAGTAATAGAGAAGGTCCATTTATCGACATTACAGATTCGTGGTTTTCGACGAGATTAATGCACGGATCGCATAGAAAAAATTCACCTTGAAGTCTTTTACAGTCTACGTTGAGAATTATACGAACTGAAGCATTCCATATCTCATTCCGGTAAAGTAACGACAAGAAGATCGATGTAAAACTGTCGAAATCCCACGAATTCATGATTGTTTATATTTCGACGAACCAACGTCGCCATCTGTGAGGTTTGGCTGCAACTAAATTTTTTCTCTAAAAACACGGGTTAGCCGCAGGACGGGCCAGCATTCTCTTGCAATCATTGGGGAAAGTATTTACCACATTTTCCCATCCGACTCTGTAATATTCCATTTCTACGGTATTCTAAATTGTTCGAGCTAGGTCCTGAAACTCTTCATTTTCGATTCTAACCCCCCAAGAAGCGTAAAACGTCGAAAACGTGCACGGACGACGCCATGTTGGTTCTAGTCCATGAGAAATAAATGATGTATGAGAAATTAATTTTCATGAGTTTCGGGAGCTACTTTAGGGCCTGGATACTTTGATATCACCTTAAAATGACGGCAAGAAGCGGCGATTAGGCCAGCGCGTGTTTCGCAAAAATTCGCAGTCAGGTTTGCATACAAAATGAGACGGGGAAAGGAGAAACAATGACTACCTCACGAGTCATTGTTTCTCCTTTCGTGTTTGAATAATGGCTTCTTTAGGCTTCCGAGGCGTTTTAAGAAAGACCGAGCTCATCGCGACTTTATGTAACGAGTCACTATCGTGTTCGCTTTGTGATTCGCGACGTGCTCGCCTTCGATAATCGCAATTCATTATTTCGCACGAGGTTTAGCGTATCTGTCGAGGATGTATGGAAATTTTCGAATTTCCTGGGAACATCTACAGATTGTCAATTAATTCATTGTTTCGCACGAGCTTCCGCGTATCTATCAAGGATGGATGCAAGTTTTCGAATTTCTTGGGAACCTCTACAGATTGTCAATTAAATCATTATTTCGCACGAGGTTTAGCGTATCTATTGAGGATGGATGCAAATTTTCGAATTTGGGAACATTTACAGATTGGCAATTAATTCATTGTTTCCCATGAGGTTTAGCGTATCTATTGAGGATGGATGCAAATTTTCGAATTTGGGAACATTTACAGATTGGCAATTAATTCATTATTTCGCACGAGCTTCCGCGTATCTATCAAGGATGTATGGACGTAGATTAAATTTATTAGCGTCTTTCATATCCTCTTAAGGAGATCCTAAATAGGATAAAGGTGTCGACTCAGTAATTTTTTCTATGCAATCCGTGCATTAATCTCGACGAAAACCACGAATCTGTAATGTCGATAAATGTACCTTCTCTATTACTTTATCGAAATGACATATGGAACCCTTAAGTTCGTATAATTCTCAACGTAGACTGTAAAAGACATCAACATGAATATAAATGTCGGTAATGAGACGTGCCAGCTTATGTTCCCACTTGAGTATTCAAAACGGTATTACCCCCAAAAAGGATATAGATGAATTTTCCTTATCAACGTCGATTAAATTTCTTAGCGCCTTTCATATCCTCTTAAGGAGATCTTACAAATGGAGATCCTAAATAGGATAAAATTATCGACTCAGGAATTTTTTCTATGCAATCCGTGCATTAAACTCGACGAAAACCACGAATCTGTAATGTCGATAAATGTACCTTCTCCCCTTCCTCGTGGTCGTGCGGCAGTTTCGATAAGAAATCGGAAAACGCGAGTCGATCGGACTCTTGGCGGGTCGTTTGAACGCGACGAGTGACTCCTAGACAATTGTCTTTGCATTTCCTGCCCCCACCTCCAGAAGGCAATTACCCTCAACTGGATAATGCTATGTGACGAATCTACGCGATCCCCGAGACGTTACGTGAGGTTCAGATGCACCTTGCAATTCCTCCTTTCGGTTTCATGACTCTATCGTTTCTTCTCTTCCAGTGCCGAAGAAGAGCGACCGAAGATGATAACCAGGGCGAAGCACTGGTGGAAAATCGTCCTCAACGGCGACTCGAAGGGCGTAAGTACCGAACAATCCACTATATTATTAAAGTCGTAACGAATTTTTCATTTGCCTTTCGCTGTATATGAAGGCTTCACATCATAAACTTTCGCTCTCCCAATACGTTTTTTCCTTTTTCTTTCTTTTCACTTTCATTTTTGCTTTCGGTATAAGTGTTTCCGTTACATTAGTAGGGTTGTAACGAACAGTTTCGCTTTCGCTTTGTGTGAAAGTTTCGCATTATTTCGGCTTTCGCGATGTGATTTAGCTTCTTTCACTTTAGAGTGACACCCTGCGCCATCTGTGATTTCCATGTCAACTAAATTTTCACTCCGAGGCCTCGTATTACCATCGTTTTAGCAAGGCAGCGCATAAGACGCTTCTTTTGCCTTTATCCCTCTGTAAAATCGATTCCAATCTATATTTTTGCTTGAAAAAATTCCGAGGGACTGTATAAACGTTAATAAATATATGATAAAAAATCCAAGATGGGGTATTTTCATGGTTCGTTAGAAAAAAATCAGAAAAAAGGCGAAAAAATACGACCATCGCAGGGTACGACTGCTTAAGGTGTATACGTGCTCTCAGTGCCCTCTGCAGTTAATCAGGGCCTCAGAAACCACGAATCCATATGATTTCAGGAGTTTTACGTCTATTTCATTATAATTATTCTACGAAAACGACAGGTGGAGTGTTCCATTAAGTACAATACCCAATATAATTCGCCACGGCACTCGATACAAGTACAAACGTCGGCAACGGAGGAGCTTATAAAATCCTTCTTTACCGACGTCGATCGAGTTCCTCGACGTGTTTCACATCCCCTTAAGGTCAGAACTCCCAGGAACCATCCAGCTCTCAAATAAAGTCCCGATTTTCCGATTTCGCGAGGAATATACACGCCAGTGAAAGGAAATCCGGGGATTCGAATCCTCGTATCCGCCGGCCAGGGCCGTCCTCGAGGAAATATGAAAACAACAATGGGTCGTAAACTCCCATCGATCTGCTATCGGCATAAAAAGTTAGCGAAAATGTCAGGGCTTCATTAGAGAGCGGTGATATATTTCACCGATAGGAATCGATTACGATCGTTCGATGACAGAAAATGCCTTCCAGGAATATCCGCGCCGTCCCTGCGCGGCCTTCGGACGCCGTAGGAAAGGGACCCAGCGGATCGCTGGAAATAAATCAATAAATAAATAACAATCGATCGGCGGGCGACGCGACCTTCGGCGGAGCCCGAGATAAAGGCCTACGGTGCAATCATAAGGAATTCCCGGGAGTTTTCTAACCTGCCAGCTAAGTTATCTCGCAAATTAATCGTCCAATCAACCCTCGAGGTCTCTCATTGATTTGAACTTCGCGCCAAGTTGCAAAATAGGTCGCACTAGCAGAGACACGAGGAGAAGAGCGACTCTTGTGAGAGTTCATTACATCTCAGACACGAACCGCTTTCTGTAGGTTGATATATGAGAGTCAGGCGCCGACCTGGTGGCCGTGAATCGAACTAATCAGGACCATTTTACAATTTAAAACACTCTGCTAATCGATAAACTCGCATTTGAACGGGATTAAGGCAGTTCTGTGCCAAAACGATGGGAATACGAGGTCTCGGAGTGATAATTTAATTGACCTGGACATCACAGATGGCGCAGAGTGTCCCTCTGCAGTCAATTAGGGCCCCAGAAAGCAAAATGGTGTCGAGCTCTCATATTTCGATCAATATACAATTATTGAAGGCTCTGATATGTGAAACGAAAGGGTCAGGACAATTTTACGACAATTTAGAACACTCTGATAGTCGATACACTCGCATTTGAACGAGATTAAGGCAAAAAAAGTGTCTTATGCGCTTCTATGCTAATTAATTAGGGCCTCGGAAACCACAAAACCAGGGGATTTCTTGTGTTTAACTTCGATTTCTTAACAATCACTGTACGAAAACGACATGTAGAGTATTCCATTTAGTGCAATACCCAATATAATTCGCCACAGCCGTCAGTATAAAAACGAATGTCGGCAACGTAGGTATTTAAAAAAAAATCTTTATCGACGTCGATCAAGTTCCTCGACGTGTTTCACTCCACTTTAAGGATATAAACCGGAATTTCTTTCTAAATTAGTAGCGCAAGTTGTCCGATGAAATCGTTAACGTTGGGTTTACTCTCTTCTTGTAGATCCTCGCAGGATTAGCTGCTCATTCGGGACAGATCTCCGTTGGGCTTTCCCAAGGATTCAGTGCAGTACTGGTTCCAAAGCTTCTCGACTCCCAGTTTGCGACTGTCTCGGAGACAACCTGGATAGCATCCCTGGGGGTGATCTCGAATCCTGTAGGAGCCCTCCTCGCAGGATGTACATCAGAGTGGTTCGGACGAAGATCCGCAATTGCCCTGGCGACTCTCCCCCACGCAGCAGGATGGCTCCTGATAGCCATGTCTTCAAATGTGCAGATGCTCTACATAGGTAGATTCATTAGTGGGATCGGCACTGGGATGGCTAATGGAATCTACCTATACGTCAGCGAAGTATGTCTCTCCAACATCACAAGACTCTGAAACGATACAACATATTGCTCTATATTCACATATGACTTGCAGCAGTAAAAGACGTCTTCTATATCTAGTCTTTAACCAGTTAACCCTTTGAGGCACGAAATTTTAGAAGAATAGAAAGGTCTACGTTGCACAGAAATTTCATTTCTTTTTAAATTGAACATTTTGCTTTATGTTTATTAGTTCCCAGTTCGAAGAAAAGTTCCATAAATAATCAACCCCTCAGATTCCACTTTTGTATCACCTTAATTATCTAAATTAAATGGCTAAAAGATGTCTTTTGATACTGACAGTGAGGTAGGAGTACGAGCCATAGTCGTCCTTAAATTTAATGTTTCGATAAATCTACTGTTAATTAAGACTAATCGTTGAACATTAAATTCAGGCAGCAGCACCACACCAAAGACCTTGGCTAGCGAGTTCGGGGCCAGTTTTGGTCTCCTTCGGAGTATTAATAATTTACATTCTGGGTGCCTTGACAACCTGGCAAAGAACTGCAGCCATCGGTGTTGGTCCAGCGATTCTCTCATTAGCCTTAATCAGGTACGGTATCAAAATGAAGTGACAAATGCCATAATTGGTATAGATTAATAAACATTCTTCTGCTTCCAGGATGCTTCCGGAGACTCCAGCATGGCTAGTTTCAAAGAGTAGGCCAGAGGAAGCGAGAGAGTCTCTTCTCTGGCTTCGTGGTCCTGGCGCAGCCATGGAAAGTGAATATCAAGAACTCTGCGAGTGCAACATGAAGCGAGAATGTCAGAAAAGCAGTTTAATAGACGCACTTCACGAGTCCTGCGTTTGGAAGCCGTTCTTGATTCTACTTCTTTTCTTCACTCTTCAACAATTCTCAGGGATTTACATCATCCTCTTCTACGCCGTCACAGTGTTAACAGACATTGGTGTCAGTGTAGACGAATACTTCGGTAGCGTTGGCATTGGTGTTGTAAGATTATTTACATCAATAATCGGCGCTGCCTTAGCCAGAAATTTCGGGAGGAAGACCATGGCCTGTATCAGTGGTCTGGGAATGTTCGTCTCCGCAGTTGGAGTTGCACTGTCGATAAGGTAACTCTTCCTAAAATTTATATTGTTCGTTCAATATTTAAGATGATATGGTAAGGCGCTGAGACATTTAATCCAGATCGATAAATTAAAATCCATCTATACTCTTTTTGGTGGTAACGCCATTTTGTATACTCAAGTGGGAACATACGTTGGCATGTCACGTTACCTTAATGTAATATTCTAATACCTTAATGTATTATTCAGGTACAACATACCATCCTGGATTCCATTGATCTGTATCGGCAGTCACGTTGGCTTCTCGATGATTGGCTATTTGACGTTACCCTGGGTGATGACATCCGAGCTTTATCCACTGAGGTTTCGAGGATCTCTTGGTGGCTTGACGACAAGTCTTGCCCAGTTATTAACCTTCTCTGCAATCAAAACATATCCAGATTTAAGGTCTACAATTGGACTAGAAGCTACGGTATGGATATTCAGCTGCTCGAGTCTTCTCGGTGCAGTGTTTGCCTTGACTGTGCTTCCGGAGACACTAGGTAGGAGTTTGGAACAAATAGAAACAGCATTTTCTCAAGAAACCGTCCATGTTGATCCAGAGTCACCGTCCATGATTGCGGCACCAAAGAATGTGACACTTAAGAGATACGCCTCAATTCTGGAAGAGAAGAATCTCGACAACACACCCTATGTTTACGATAACTACTGCTTCGATTCATCTACGGAAGGTTCCACAAAGAAAGAGAATTGTAAAACTGTAAGCGACAAAGTATCTAAAAGTTGCCTTTCACTGGAACATATGTACCTTTGAGTGATTATGATAATCACCGATAAATTATGACCATCGATAGGGCACTGCTAATTACAGCAGTTATTATTAACCCTTTGACTGTGAACGACGCATGTATGCATCCGACACTTGGTCTACTATTGCCTGTACATGTTCATGAATTTCGCCGAGAGTCAAAAGAGCTTAGAAGTCAAAGGGTTAAATAAGGCAAAGTGCGATTGATCAAAATCCTTCTACGCAAGATTTGCCACGACTCAACTACTGAAGAAGATTACCTTTTAGATATTGAATCGACCGCAGAATGAATCTGCTAAAATTATTTACGAGGTACACACATCACAAAATCCTGTTAATCACGGATCAAATTATAATCAAGAGAGGTTATACTTTGTCATCGTTACGAAGCTAAAAAATTCAAGCTACTGTGATAACCAATGAAACCGACAAAGTTTTCAATATAACTTATAAGGCATTGCAGAGCAAAGATCCTTATTCATTGTTGATGATTCGTTCTCTCAGGATTGTTTGTACACTCAACAAACACCAGTCAGTATTACAGATATTCCTAAATTGTGATTTACGTAGTGTAGTTATTTACTTAGGTACTTAGTTTCAAAACACTAGGAACTTGAAAATAAGACACATAATTGGAAGTGACGAGCAGACCGTTCATTAATCTACATTAATGGAAGCGTCATTGACAATTTGTTATTATGGTATTGCAACATTGATATCGTAGGCGGTGAAGAACCTAAGTTATCATATTTACACATTGCCGAACGAGCGATGCCTTATTTTTAAACCAGAAACTCAGTGGACGTATATCTTTTTTACGATATATTTAACCTTGTCTCTACTACAAGTAAAATGTTCGAAGCATGTAACTAAACAATTGTAAATACACACACATGACTCGCCAATCCCTCTCCGTAGTAATTTAAAATAAATTATTTCATTTCAGTTCTCCCAAACTTCTTCTAATACTTCTAAACATGAACTCGTCATACTTTTAAATACGCTGAATAGGACGTCAATACAAATCGCGATATAATTAAAATACCACAGTCGAACAAAACATTATTATATAATTTTCTCGTTGCGTATCAACTCGTGACAAGCAGACCACCAACCACTGCCAATAGTATACAGGATTAGGTAAATATAATACGTCACGTAATATACGTCATTTTCTACGTGTACATTATGACGTGTAACACGTCCCTAGTTTTCAACGCAAACACAAAGTATTGGACTGATGCATAAGTATGGCATTTTATATGTTACGTTACATGTAAAAACTGCCTTTATTTATGCATCGATCCCATATATTATGCCCTTCTGTTTCTAAATAGGACATAATAAATCCAATTTAAAATTTGATATCAAGCAGGGTGAAGTCGAAAGAAGTTTGAACGCAAGTGCCAAATTAATTATTTCTGACAAATTCTGATGAAATACATATATCATGCATCTGCAGCAACGATCACATTAGGAACGTAAAATTCTAAACAGCACATTAGGAACGTAAAATTCAAAACATATTTAAATACACGCGACGAATTTATTTGTTATTCCTTAAAGGCATTTACGCGTTTACATATATGTTAAAAAACGTTTATAACCTAGCGGATGCCGTACATCGTCAACCTGAGTTATTCTCCGTATTAGAAACATAATTCACTGGTTTTCTGCGATTTTCTACGGTAAACTACTTAATTTACGTAATATATGTGAAAAAGCCTCGAAAAACGGGAAATTACCCAACCCGCCATTGTCCACATTCACATATCACAAACGTCCAGAATATCAGCTTCCACTCGCAGTTATATCTCCTTAAATATGGTCAAACTATCAAATAAATTGAATATCATCTCGAGTATAAGTCCCTTTACAGGTAGGATTCCACAATGCAATTAACAAAGAACATTAAACACTCTCTCGATCTGAACGTCGCCATGACACTTTTCTAAGATGGCCGCCATTGCCACCGCCCGCTTCTGTTCTCCTAATGCGAAAGCGCGTTACTGGCAGCCGATCTTTGAAATTAAATAATTTATACGCACCGCCTGAGCGTACCTCCTCACGGCCGTGCTCCTCCGTTAAGCAGTTATCAATTTCGGGCCTTCCTTCCGTCACTCCAAGGATCGTCGGCGCGCGTCGTCAACCGTCGCTTTCTACGCTGGCCATCTTGGAAATCACGCGGCCATCTTGGAAACCGCGTGCCACCTCCTCGCCGCCATATTGGCCGCATTCCTCTCGAGGAATTTCAAAGCCTTTTCGTTCTCCGCCAGCTTGGGAGGGAGTCACGCCTCAGGCCTCGTGCCACCACCTCCCATGCTTCTCCCCTTGCCCGAATTTATCAATTCCGAGTCTTTTCGTCCGTTTCAACTTCGAGCTCGCACCGATGTCGAGCTCCTCGCGCCGCTGCTACCTGGATACTGAACGACGAATTTCGACCCTTTCTATCAGTGGTCCGTAGAAATCCGAACTTGACCACCGATCTTCTCCTTCTGTATCGGACATCGAGTCGATTCTTCCCGCGAGCGCGCTCGTCCCCAACGCTTCCGAAAATGTATCTCGCTTTATGGACCGCGATAGGACGCTACAAAGAACTTGAGCTGGAGATAAATAAACACGGATCGTTCCTCCCACTGATGACGTAATTACTTCCGTATATTTAATGATTCCGTGCATACGATACGGTGGCGCCACGTCGCGGACAACTCCTGAACCCGTTCCAACTTTCCCGCCGGTATTATAAATCCCTCCCACCAAAAGAATAAGTTATAAAATTAGGTTTATTTAATACACGGTTTTAATGTTCACATATTTCATTCATTATACAGGGGTCTTTGAGATGATTAACCCTTCTATATGAATTTCCGCATTTTTTTTCAGGCAGTGGAAAAGAAATGCTGGAACATTCCTAATAAACACTTCGTTTAATTACTTTTATATTTTTAATAGAATCGTGATGAGTGCATGTAAAATATTCCCCGTACTGGTATAATGTACTTTGTCAGTCTTGACTGTTATAATCTATGCTTAGGTGGGACGTAAAATTCGATCAAGCTATATAACGAGTCTATTGCCGAAGTGCTTCCGAGGTGGCGTCTAGGTTATGCTTCTCTGGTTCGTTTACACGAATTTCGACCCTTTCAACCTTACCCGGCATGCCAGTCGGATACCTCTTATCGATTCGTGGAATCCTGATACGAAATCCCGTATTTCGACACAATTCTGTCATCTGAAACGTCAAAACGACGAGAGAGGAACGAGGAAGATAGATACGCGCGCTCCTCGAGAATGACCGGCCGACGCGAGCTGCCTTACCGGCCGAGTAACGAGCCTCGTCGACCTCTTCGGGATTCATGCGATCTTGATATTAAATCGACAATTTTTGAGCCATCCTGCCGCCAAATGGAGACCAGCAAAATGATCAGTTGTCCATCCAGGAACACACGAATCCCCTGACCGCGTCCTTTAGATGAAACTCTAAAGTCTATTGCACAATTGGGGACAACTGGAACGAGGTTTTCGGCCAATCAGTGTTGATTCTCCGGGCATCGAACGAACCCCTTGGACAATTGGAGAAAAAACCCATTTCGCTGCAGCGATTCTATTGGTCGCCGCGTCGACGCCATTTGCAATCCGACAGCCAATAGGAATGCTTTCCTGTTTACGCGCGAATTACGAACCTAGATGATACTTTGTTATTGGAAGATGTGGGATTTACATACATAGAATTAAGAGGACCTACTGACAGGGTTAAGATGGCATGAAAGGGTACTTCTGTATATATATACGTCAAAATATTTATAAAAACTCGTTCGCCCTTTTGGAAGGGCGGAGGATGTCCGTGAATATGCATTAAAATAATATAACATGTTACCTTAGTAAGTGGGAAATAGTAACAAATATCTAACTTTGATCTTACTTTTATGCTACATAACACGTTAGCTTCGAAAATGTAACATTAACCTATCAGTTATATTAGAGTGTTCTGTGGGAAGTGATGTTAAAATATGTTAAAGGATACTACGTACTAAAATATCACGAGAAGCTTCGTTTCAAACACAAAGACAGTGAAGGTTCTCACAAATAAATGAAACAATTAAGGAAAGAGACCTTTCTCCACTGACATCATTAGCCGACGTCCTTTTATTTTTGGAAGAATGTATAATTACAATGTTGCGTCTTAGGTTAACTTCCGGCTTCCTAAGATTAGTATTTACAGTAAAAATAAACTTGTAACTCCTGTTATTTTCCGCACTCCTTAATAAATAGTCGGCTTATTGATTAAGTAGAAAAGCGTCAGCCTCGTGGGAATAGGGTCCTCTAATATTAATAAATGCGAATTATCGAAATGTCACTCGATGTCCTAAGGGGACTTGCACCGTTTCCCCGGGTAATTGTATGTATAATCGCCTATAATCCTTTCGTTAGAAACGTAGTAAAGCTCTAAATCTCTTTTACATTAAATGTAGACACCTTAATAACAAAATATCTTCCTCGTACATGGAATTACATTATTTAGTTACTTGCAACAATTGCGAGACATTTTCTACATTCGGTAGACCTCTCCAACCGAACTTTTTCTGGCAATTGCAATTAAGTAGTTTTTTTCTTCTGTTTTTTCTTTTTTTTTCAAATCATTACTGGTTTAAATTGCGCATTGTAGAATGACGTCCAATCAGTCATCACATTTACAGCATTAGGTCTTATCACAATAACATAATATCAATGCGATTGGTCCTAATTATTAGGAAATTAAATTGGAATTTTAAGCGAACAGTCATTCTATATATATTAAAACGTCAAAATATTTATAACTTTTCTCCAAACTGAGTGCACCGAATCATTTGAAACTTCAACACGTGATTATGAAGGCCCTAAGGAAGGATGTGATGCTCGTGAAATTTAATTTTTTAACAAAAAATTGTTTTTTTTACTTAGCTTACACTAGGACCAAAATCACATTTTTTTCTGACAAATGAAATTTCATAAACAAAGCGGTCTTCCTTAGGGCCTCCATAATCACCTGTTGAAGTTTCGAATGATTCGATACACCCAGTTTGGAGAAAAGTTTTATAAACATTCTTATATATATATATAAGAATGTTTATATATATATTTATAATATATTTATCATATCGCCTTAATACAAAATTAAGTCAGAATACATGATTTATGTTCATATGGTTTCAAAGCATTAAAAAATTAAGACATCATGAGGTTGAATTAATATCGACAACATAATAATGTAGTTCTTGACAGTATTTAATCAGAATTTTTAGGGGAAAAAATAAAAAATCGGTTGTTAACGACATGTTAATGAAACATTTCGATAAAACCTTGGTACGTTTTTCAATTTTTTTTGTTTTGTCAAATAAGCAAAGTTACTTAGCATGGAAGACTTGAATCTTTACGCAAATCAAATAAATAAATTAAGGTGATATGAAAGGGTCATTCTATATATGTAAACGTCAAAATATATTATAAAACTTTTCTCCAAACTGGGAGCACCGAGTCATTTGAAACTTCTTCACGTGATTATGGAGGCCCTAAGGAAGAACGTGATGTTCGTGAAATTTCATTTTTGGGAAAAAAATTGTTCTTTTATTTAGCCAAGTCTACAACCAAGATGACATTTCTTTATTTTCTGAAAAATGAAATTTCATGAGAATAGCGTTCTTCCTTTAGGGCCTTAACCTGTTAACCGTGTTTGATAAATATACTCGTCATGAAAACACACATTTAAAATAGGTCGACACGGTTAACTGATTAATAATCACGTGTTAAAATTTCAAATGACTCGGCACACCCAGTTTGGTGAAAAGTTTTATAAATATTTTGACGTTTCATATATACGGAATGACCCTTTCGTATAACCTTAATAGTCGTTACATTTTTTGAGATAACTCCAGTAAGACATAAAGAGAACAATGCTTTGAAGGACAATTGTAACGTAAAGACGAAGTCAACATTAGCCTTGGAACAATATAGTTTGTAAATACCAAAAGGTAGAACGAGTAACTAAGTTCCTTTTCCTTTTGTTTGGTCATTGTTACGTACTAAAACCTACACCACGGTGTATGAAAAATTCCAGTTGGCATTGGACGTCACCTATTCGAGTAATTCTATGAAAATATCGAGCGTGTGATTATTATGCATATTGTCAATACTTGTAGCTTACTGCCCGAGCTCTGAAAAATCGACAAACCGATCGACCTTCGTAGTTCCATTAATTCCCGCACTAAACGCCGGTAAATTTACACGTTTATACATAAACTGAGATCACACCGAGTCGAAATTATAATTTGTACCGTCCACAGACATTAACGAGTTTATCTATAAAAGTAATCACTACTGATTGAATTCCCATTTCCGAATGCAACACAACTGATGCTCGAGAAAGATTAAGAAAAACATGTCAATAAGTTCGTCAAGCCTGAAGCCATATAAATATCTCACATTGGAGGATAAAAAAATAATCCGCATCCCCCCGAAGTTTCTATCCTTGAATTAATTAATTCCTTTTACCACTCGTAATAGAGCTTCTTGGACTAGGGACTGAAATCGATATTAACTATCACATCTGTACAAATTCTTATCCGGAGAGTCCATCTTCTAAATGCGTAGTTCAGGCTCTAATTTCTCGGTTAACCTTTTCATTACGACAGAAAACCGCCAGCAAATAATTCAGAAGTCTCCAGAGAAGCCCAGAAGGATACGGACGTTCGATGATGGACAAATAGTACGTTAGCCAACAGATGGCGGCGCTGAAATCACCTCTCCATCTCTCTTAATCTTATAACCCTACGTAGCGAATTGCATTCTTTCATTATCTTCACCCAATACTCGCCTTTCTACATGCGTCTCTCTTTCTCCCGTATGTGAGACATCGTAGGCTAATATGCGACCTCTCTTTTACCCCTATTTCTGGTTTGTTAGCCAACTTTTAGAGCATCAAGCGCTAACGTAGGATCTGGGCTTCTATGGGACTTCTGAATTATTTGCCACCACTTAACGCGACTCCGCGCCGACAGAGTGCGCATGGCGCTTCAGCAGTCTTCGGTGTTCGAACTTACGTCTTCCACCTGAACAATGTCTCCTTGACTGCCTTTTCTACGTACACTTTTCTAAGCGTTAAATAACAACGGTTTTGCCGTACCATTCCATTATTAAGTATCCAAATCAAAGTTTAACCTTAAACTTTTAAGAAATTGAAAGTTATCCCCATAGGTGGCCTTCTCGTCTGGTCTCGATGGCCAAACTGTGTTACGTATGTTTAAAGTGTACTTTCAGGATGATTAATCCAATACGGATCGGTACAATCAAAAGATACTCTGTAAATATGGCAGAATTTCTTACCGACTAAAGTCGGCGCTTGTAACAAAAGGGTTAAAGGAAAACCTAGGCTTATGGACGTTCCTTATCTCTTCGAAATGATTATCCATGTGACGGAGCAGACAGTGGTAGTTTCTCTGTATTGCTTCGGAGTTGATTTCCCAGTGACGAGTGGAGTGGAAGATTGGATCGTAGTAGCCTAGTAGATTAGGCAGATACAACAGACCTTGTATCAGTAGAATTCTGAATCCGAATAGTACTCAGAGTCTCCAGACCTGCCGTTGAGATAGACCTCCGATGTCTGTTGGATGGACGGCGAGTTCTGCGTAGAGTCACAATTTTGACCTAGTCAAAAGAGACAAAAATTAAACATTAATAATCTCGATTTACTAGTCTTTTACTTCTAACGATCCTTATTAAGGTTAACTGAAACCCCCTTCGAATAAGTCGATTCGAGTAAGACACTTTTTTCATAAGGGTATTGGATAGAACCATCCGAAACATTGACAAATGACTTGTGTCAATTAGGGCCTCAGAAACCATGAATCCAGAGGATTTCTGGAGTTTTACTTAGATTTCTTTATAATTATTGTAGGAAAACGACATGTGGAGTGTACTATTTAGTACAATACCCAATTTAATTCGACACAGCTGTCGATATAAAAACGAAACTAGGCAACGTAGGTATTTAGAAATATCCTTTTTACCGACGTCGATCAAGTTCCTCGACATGCTTCACTTCACCTTAAGGGGATGTGAAAGTGGCACCCGGAAAGTCAATCGTTCGTGAAGCTTTTCTCCGAGCTGAGTGTACCCAAGCATATGAAATTTCACCATTACTTTACTAAGATGATATATGAAATTTCATCATTACTTTACTAAGATGATATATGAAACGCCTCAGTTCGTACAACTCTAAACGTCGACTGTAAAAGACTTGGACATAAATATAAATGTCGGTAACGTGACGCGCCAGCTTATGTTCCCACTTGAGTATTCAAAATGACGTTCCCACTAAAAAGGGTGTAGATGAATATTAATTAATCGACCTGGATTAAGTTTCTCAGGGCCTTTCATGTCATCTTAATAAGTGGAAGTATACCATGTGCAGCCAGAATTGTTGCCAGACATCTTGCTACGGCAGGGTTCGGGGCACAAGCCAGGGCTGGAGTCAACCCATCGGAGTCGACTACTTCGACACTGGCACCTAATTCCAAGAGACGCTGGGTCACCTGGAAACATTTCATGTACCTAGGATTCCCATCGGAAGAGAAATAGAAGAGAATGTAGATTTTACATACAGCTACTAGGCCGTTCCTTGCGGCAAGATGTAAAGGTGTCCGTTGTTGTTTGTTCGTCATGTTGACGACGATGGATCGTTGAAGCTCGTTCTTTGTACCCAGTGAATCTATGTGGTCCAGTAAAAGAATTGCTGTCGAGGAATGACGCTTTTGGCACGCCAAATGTAGAGCGGTGTTCCTGCTGGAGTCTACTGCGCAAACGTTTGGCATCCACGGCAGTAAAACCTCTGAAAATATTCAGAGTACTTGTAATGTGTATAAAAGTGCCCAGTTAAATGATTGTATATATCATTCCATACGCAAAGAATTTAATCAATAGATTAAGGTGACGTCAAAGTGTCGTTTATGAGTTTTCACCACGTGAGCTTTTAGATGATATGAAAGGCGCTGAGAGATTTAATCGAGGTTGATAAATCTAAATTCATCTCTATCCGTTTTGGTGCTAACGTCATTTTGAATATTCAACTCGGAACATAAGCTGGCACGTCTCGTTACCGACATTTATATTTATGTTGCAGTCTTTTATACTCTGCGTTGATAATTATACGAAGTGAAACGTTCCATATGCCATTTCGGTAAAGTAATGATGAAGAGATCGATGTAAAACTGTCGAAATCCCGGGAATTCATTATTCTAACGACTGTATAGGACCAACGTCGCCATCTGTGACGTTTAGCTGCAACTAAATCTTTTCTCTAAAACCTTGCGTTAGTCTCGAGACAAGCCAGGATTCTCTTGCAATCGTTGTATTCGAATCGACTGACTTGAAGGGTGTTTCACTTCACCTTAATAGAACAAAGTGTATAAATGATAATTCCTCGAAGCAGAAGCTTTGATAGAGACGAACCAATGACTTGATTCTGTCCATTGACAGCAGCGCTCAGCAAAGGCGTGCGTCCCGTACAATCAGGAGTCTCAAGACCAGCAAGCTCCGACCCCACGGCTTTTAATATTTTCCGTGCGCATTCGTGGGACCCTGCACTGGCGGCAACGTGTAAAGGAAGTCTACCACCTGGAGAGTCTCTCAGAGATGCCACTTTCGGGCCTCCGAATTTCTTAATCAGCAGAACCAGGCAGGCGGATGAGTCTTGAAACACCGCCGAGTGAACCGCAGAGAAGGAATTTCCTAAAAATCCACCCAGACACGTTACTCAGGATGACACATTAAATCTTAGAGAATAGTTATTAAAGTATGTAAAGGCTCGGTGCCTTCCAAAAAATCGGAGTATCATCGTTTTACCTTCCAAACTGTCGATGACGTTCTGTTCTAGGAGATAGCTGACGCACTTCGCTTTCCCGTCATAGCAAGCCCAATGGAGAACGGTACAGCCCTGACTATCTTTCAAGGTAGCAGCCTTCGGATCAGCTTTGACGAGATGAATCAGTGACTTTAAGCTATTTTAATAAAGACCAGCAGTTCAATGGATGAAACTTGTTCAGGGACATATGCCAAGTGAAGCCAAAGAATTCAGAAGTCCCATAGAAGCCCAGATCCTACGTTAGCGCTTGATGCTCTAAAAGTTGGCTAACAAACCAGAAGAGGGGGTAAAAGAGAGAACGCATGTGTTAGCCAACGATATCTCACATACGGGGAACGCATATAGAAAGGCGAGTACTGTGTGTAAGATAAAGAAAGATTGCAACTCGCTATACGTCGCCATAAGATTAAGAGAGCGGGAGATGATTACAGCGCCGCCATCCGTTGGCTAACGTACTATTCATCCAGCATCGAACGTCCGTATCTTTCTGGGCTTCTATGGAGACTTCTGTATTCTTCGGTAGAGATCAATTCGGAGGAATATTCGCGTCATACCTCTCGCAGGCTGCTGCAAGATGCAGCGGTGTCTTCCCATTAGTATCCTGGGCCGAAACTGTGGCACCGAACGTCAACAAAAGCTTCACCAACCGATAATCTACCTCGCGGATTACCGCTCGAAATAACGGCGTGTGCTTGTTAATATCTGCCAAATTACAATTCGCCTTGTAGTTAAGAAGAATGAGCGCACAGTCGTATTTCCTGTTAGCCACTGCGAGCATCAGAGCAGTCCTCTGCTTGATGTCACACCAATCGACGATCGTAGAGTCTTTGGTGTTCTTCAGGAGCAAAAGGAGGCATTCGGTGTGACCAGCTGCGGCTGCGCAGTGGATCGGAGTGCGTCTAGTGACGAAATCCTAGGAAAAAACGAATGGCACATTAATATTAATACATTTGAATTCACTTACAGCAAAAATACAGGGATATGTTTCACGACATTGTCGAAAGTTAGACACGGCTACCTAGCGCCGTGTACCTGCTTTCAAAGTGGCGAAATGTCCTCTATCAGTAAAGAAAAACCCGTCTGCAGATTTAAAATACAGCATAGTATCGTTAGAATGAAGTTATCGCCTTTCCGCTTTTAGTGTCAGGGTCAAAGTAGGTTGGGAAAGAAGATTAGGAATACGAAATAAAGTTGTTATGAGTGGATGATTGAGATAACGACGCGGTACCCACGTATACCCTGTTTTACCGATCGTGAAGATTTCGCCTCTTTTAAAGTAGTTCCAAGTTTTACAGAGGTGTAAAGGGCGTAGAGGGCGCTAGGCGGGCATGTCTCTCTTTCAAAGAATGGCGTGAAACATCTCCCCGCTCATCTATGCTTGCAGGAACGTGAACGTAATTGCTTACTTGAACGGATACCAATGCACCGTAGTTCAGCAGAAGTTCGATGCACTGTTCGTGACCATTGTATGCAGCGAGGTCTAGAGGAGTCTTCCCAGTGTCCTCCTTGATGTTAGTCTCAGGAAATAGAGGAAGGAGTAATGTCAAAATATTACCGAATCCCTTGTAAGCCTGGATAATTTGTATGGGTGTTACAGGTAAAGTGCATTCTTATGAAATTATTTCTATGGATATTATTGGGAAAGTTCATTCTTATGAAATTATTAACTCACAGCAAGGTGAAGAGGCGTGAGTGCCGGGGCTGGCGGACCCTGGCGGCTCATCGAGTAACTCGACGGAATGGCAGGATTGTCCTGCGAGGAGACCTCTAAAAGAGCTTCCAACGCAGGTTGGTTCCCACCGGAAACTGCATAGTGGATCGCGGTGAAACCATGCTTATCTGGTAACCTAGGGTCTGCCTTATGTTTGAGCAGATATTGCACGCACCTAAAACGAAAGAGAAGGATTCCACCTCCGATGGAGTGAAAGACTTACATTGCAAATTAAGGGGACGTGAAAGTGGTGAAAGTTCATGATACTTTTCTCCAAACAGGGTGTACCAATTCCTTTCAAATTTTACCAGATGCATAAGGAGATCCTAGGGTAGGTCGGGAAGCTCGCAAGATTTCATTTGTCATTAAAATAGTTGAAAACAGCCATAAACAAATTATCTTAAAATTGAAATCTCATGGGTTTCAGGACTTCCCTAATAGCCTCCATATTTACATTGTCAAGTTCATGTGATTTTGACAATGGCGAGGACAATAAACATGTTCCATTAATCGACGCGCCTAATTGGCTAATTTACAATTAATTATTACAGGTAAACAATACACTGGGGAACTTATCAGGACTTATCAAGAAGAATAGTCATGTAAACCGTCTTCGCCATTTTCATAACACCCTACAGAGCACGTAAAATTACTCGCATTAATTATTATTATCACTTACTGGACGCTCGACTCGTTAGGATTCGATGCGGCGAGATATAACGGGGTAGCGCCGTCGGTATCTTGTGCATTAACGTCGCTACCGAAACCAACTAGAGTAAAGACGCAGAGGTAGTGACACCTATGAGCAGCGTAGTGTAAGGCCAAGCGATTTTCGTTGTCGGTTAGTCGAAAATTCGCCCCATTGGAAAGTAAAAGATCCAGACAGTCTACAGAGCCCTGGAGATGTTTAGTTATTAATTAAAAAGAGATCTGCAATCTTTCAGCTAAACCGTAGATATTGTAGAGGTCGTGCCTTAAATGCAGCTAGATGTAACGGAGTCCTTCCACAGATGTCTCTCGAGTCTATGCAACGGCTGTCAGCTTGTAACAACTTCCTACACACCTGCAAAAGTGAATTTGATTATTGTACAAAGAAATTCTTCTATCCCAGTGAACACTGTTATATAACTGTTGGGTAAATATTACGTTTTCGAAACTAACAGGTTATGTAACATGTTATATTAATGTTACATTAATGTTATAATTTTTAGCTACCTTAAAATAATGTTAATTCTTCATACATTTAATTTAAAAAAAATCACGCAATTTTATCAAACATTATATAATTTTTTAATTTTAATTATTTTTTGCTACTTGCCAATAGTTAGATATTAAATGACAGATCAGACTTTCAATGAAATTATGTAACGATAAACTATGTGATTTTACTTAAAGACTGTTATGATTTTATTCGACTAGCAAACAATTACTGATAATGTATATGCGCGTACGAATTAAAATCACATTTTTTCATACAAGTAGTAACAAAATATGACATATATTAATCTTATGACATTTGACGATGACAATGATGTAATAAAATAGATGACAGTTAGCACCAATGTAGTTCTGTTTTGTTAAAAATATGTGCTGCATATACACAGTAATATTAGGACAGTAACATAATGTAAGATAAGAGTAACAAAGTTACGCTACATTTATGTAAATATGATACTAACAAATATTATGTAACCTGTTAGCTCCATGTTCCATAACTAAGTTACTGCATTGTAACAAATGGCATGTAACTAGTTAGCTCTATGTTACGTAACCGTTAGGTTATTATATTGTAACAAACGTTATGTTATTTGTTAGTTTTAAGTTACGTAACTGTCAGGTTTGGTGTTGAGTGGGTAGAGAATTGCAACTAGTTATAGATTGTTACCTCGATATGTCCTGCTAAGCAACTCAGGTGCAACGGAGTACGCTGATCTGTGTTTCGCACTCCTGGGGATGCTTTGTACTCCAGAAGAGTCGTCGTCAAGCACTCGTAACCAAACCTGGCAGAGAGGAAGATATTTTAAAAATTCGGGAATGCTACTGCAGTGACTTAGACTGCAGACAGACGCTCTTTTATAAACAAACTCATATTTAAAAACTCCGTTTTCTCGAACTTTCTTCCCTAGGATACTTCACCTTAAGGGGATGGGAAAGTGGCCTCCGAAGTCAATCGTTCATGAAACTTTTCTTCGAATTGGGTCTACCGAATCGTTTTAAACTTTACAACGTGAATATGGAGGCTATAAGGAAGGCCCTGACACTCATGAAATTTTATTTTTTATACACAATTTTGAAAATATCAGTAAACAAGTTTTAAAAGAAACTGAAATTTTATGGGCGTCAGGACCTTCCTTATAGCTTTTATATTCACGTAGTCAGGTTGAAATGATTCGGTACACCCAGTTTGAAGAAGAGTTTCATAAACGAGACCTCTTTGACGCGACTTTCACATCACCTTAACCCATTCTCTCGATTCCTATAACCGGACACACGCGCGCCCAAACTATGTAAAGGTTTCTCATATGCAAATTTCGTACCATGCAGCGATGTGTAAGGCAGTATTTAAGTTTTTATCCTTTGTGTCCGGCAAAGCGCCTGCGTCTAGGAGGCTTTTTGATCTGGTAAATCTTCCCTGGATCGCAGTCATGTGTAAAGGCGTTCGACCGTCTACAGATTGAATGTTGATTCTTGCCCCAGCTCGTAAAAGCGTGTCTAAACAAATGACGCCTTGCACGCTGGCGGCAGCTATATGTAACGGAGTCTCTCCTCGATAGTTAGTTTTCTCTGAAATTCAGGAAATTATTAAAACATGAGTCTAGATTGTAACAATGGACATCAAGATGTAAACCACCAGGCTTGCCAAACCCTTTTTACTTTTTAATTCGTATTCTGTTTTTTTATCTAAGATGCGGTACACATATGTGATAATAGGAACTGATTTCATAACTTTCGCAAGGGGATAAGTACCACTTTTCATCTTATTAGTATTTTGTACATATTAATTGGATAACATTTACGAAGATAATCGTTATTACTTTAATTACGGTAGAAATAAACTAAAGTGAGTTTATTTTGCAGTCGTAAGAATCAATGTACGTATTTGGCAAAAGTAATTAGTTCAATTATTTTCTCTGACAAATGTACGTGGCACAAGGCTTTTTTTAACAGAACGTCTTTTTGAAAAAATTTAAAATGTCTTAAACTGAATACAAACCAATATCGCAGCCCATGTTGATTAGTTCTTGTACCACATCTGCGTGTCCATTAAGACAAGCCACGTGCAATGCAGTATTTCCACATGCATTCTTTGCTTCGAGATTAGCACCAGCTGCAATGAGTACCCTCATGCACGCAATTTTACCAGAAGCTACCGCTGCAAGTAGTGGAGTATACTTTTGTTGGTCCTGATGGAAAAATAAAAGAAGAAAATAACAGATTCACAGAAAGATTTAATATCTTGCTTTTTTAAATGATTTACCTCTGCATCGATTATAGCTCCCTTGTCGATCAGTATCTTTGTAATAAGTTCATGGCCCATGTATGCAGCGTAGTGTAAGGCGCTTCGGTCCTGCATGTCACCTTTTGTAACATTTTGGTTACGCGAAAGTAATAGCTCTACCGTTTCTAAATGACCATTGTAAGCGGCATGATGCAAGCTCGTTCTTCTAAATCTGATTAAAAGTACAGTGTAATTGAAATAACGGTATTACTACTTATTTTCACATTTCATAAACAACATTATACCTGTCGAGAACATCAATGTCCTTCATCCAAGGAATCAAGAGCCTGGCACATTCGACTGCATTGTTAGCGGCAGCAACATGTAAAGATGTTTGCCACTTATGATCCCGAATTTCTTTCTTTGTCATGTTCTTTAGTAATAGATTTACAGCCTTGGGATTGGCAGAGAAACAAGCTTGATGCAACGGCGTCAACCAATTTTGATCGGGGGTATTTCCATTAGCTCCACGAAACACCAACCAGTTTATCAAATCCATATCGCCTCTGCGTTTTAAATGCACAGATTACATTCCGCAATAATATCAATAAACATCGGGGCTAATAGAACATTAAATAATAAGTTTACTTGTACACCGCGGCATGGAGCAACGTGCGCTTCTGCTCATCCTGCCAATACAGGTCCTCGTTTGCCATCGCCAACTTATGAAACTCCTCATGGTCACCTCGGAATATTGCTTGAAGGAGCGGAGGCTACAACGGATAAACGATCGTTCAACAAACTATGATAAAAAGAATCTTCCGATACTTTAAGCGAATATAGAAAGACAATATTTAAGGAAATCATAATTTACTCTCCAACATTGAGTGCTTAAGAACAAATACACTCGGATTAGGAGATCTGTTCGAATGACTCATGAAGGAACTAACCTCAAAACCGTGACACAATAAACATATTCAGAGAATCAGCATAAAATGATCTACACAATGCCCGAATATCATACCTCGTTACGTATGTCTCGAACTTCCGTCATTTTGGACCTTTTAGAGGTTTACTACTAAAACAATTCGATAAAATTGACAGCACTTCGCCGATAAGGAACTGTCATTCCCGTTATCAGAAGCTGGCGGTTACTTCGTCGCTGCATGTCTTAGGATTTTTCTAATGGTACGTCTCTTAGTTTCCCGTCAAGTTCGCGGTGTAATTATTATTACGAAAAATATTTTCATTCGGGGGGAAAATCGCGAAAAAAAAACGGTGCACAGTCACCCCATTTCTAAATGGTCGTTGTTGTTGTTTTTGGCCCCAGAGTACCCAAGGGTTTACTCTAATAAAGCCAGTTTTTAACTGCACAAGCTGTGCGGATTAGGGTGACTCTACTCTTGTGTCGTATGGTCGTTGCTGCTGCACTAGGTTATGTGTCTTTGATGCATTGATCGGTAGTGGAGGGGGCTGGTTGGTTTGGCGGCGGGTTTGAATCGTTGTTGGTCGTCTATGTGTCTATTTTTGCGTATTGGGTGAAGCTGTATATTAGACGGAATATATAGATTCGTCTTCCGTGGCTAGTAGTTCGGTGATATCGTGGCAGGGGTCGACACTGCCATGTATTGGGGTGTAACGCTTTATGCACTACCGCCATTTACAAGGTATATACCTTTATTTGAAATATTACTAGACCGGGAGTGCTGATGATCTCGTTCTTTCATATAGCGAATACGTAATTCGGGGAATAAACCCACGTGAGATGGAAGTGCGAGAAGTGAGCGCGCTCGGCAAAAATACGTAATAAACGCCCTGCTGCTTTCTAACGACCCTTTAATTCTTCGACACAAGTGATACAAACAATAAATGGTCAAATGTCAGAGGACGCCGAAAAAAATGTCAAGTCTGTCAAACTTGTCAAATCTTTGGCGTTCTTGTGACATTAAGCGAGAGTAGGAAGGTTCGTCGAAATGTCTCAGGAAAAGAAATGCGTCCACCAAACGGAAGACGTAAGTGAGGTAAGCTTGTTTATTCAGAAAAGTGTTAAGCGCGAACATAACCTGCAAGGACGGCGCAAGTGCCTGAAAAGATTCTCCATTGGTGCTGAGTTTCCAGGAATATGATTATAGGGAGTTTGCCGTTAATATTGAACTTGATGTAAATAATAAAATAGAGGAAATGTTAAGATTGGTTTGAGTATTAATTAGTATGTTCTTTAAGCCGGTTTCGACAGAAGAGGATACGTTTGGGTCTTCGATAAGCTTCAGTGTCGGAGAGAACTCGGTTAGGATTAAGGAGAAGCCGAAAACTGCAGCGGAGACAGAAAATAAGCCAGAGGCTGATAAGTGGTGGCTTAAGAGACCAGAGACTCGAATGGGCAGTTTTGATTGGAAAAGTGTTCACGCGAAGGGCAAAGCTTCGCCCTCACCTTCTCCGGATGTTAGTTCGTCGATGAAGGAATTTTTAGAAAAGGAGAGACTGTGCAAAGTAAGAAATTAAAATATGAGCTCCATCTATGTTTATTAGAACTTTTGGAGTATATCTGTTAGACAGTCTTTTTTAAGATAATATTTGTATGCATTTATATATCCTAGGCTTTACATAAGAGCGAGGGCGAGGTGAAAGACAAAGACGATACCCTTTGCGACATTCTAGCTTCCACTGCCTTCGACAAGTATCCGTCCGACTTTGAGAGTTAGTGGATTCATGTTCTTTAATGAGTTTAATAATTACTTGAGACAAGTATTCTTGCCTAATTTCTTCCTCTTTTATTTTAGATGCCACTGACGAGGATATTGGTAGTATCTTAGAGGAGATGAGCAAGATTGCTGGAGCACTAAGTCCTAATACTGCTCCGGAACATACTAAGTCAGGACATTCTAGCAAAAATCCTACCGAAGAGGAAAAATCGGTTGAGGAATTACTGGAGGAAGCGGAGAAACTAGTGCAAAAGAACAGCGGAACTATTTCAAAGAGTGGCTCGAAGTCTGACACATTACTTCCAGAAAGTAATGTGAACCAGGAGCCAACGGAGAGTTTGGCCAGAGTAAGACATTTGGAGGCACATATCTTTGAGATGATCGAAGCTGAAGTACACAAAGAGTCAGAAAAGATTAAACGGAGTCCAAAGAATGAGAAGAAAAGGGAGTCGAGTCCAAGTTTTGAAATTGTTTATGAAAATCTCAAACCTGCTAAGACCTTGGAACTTCAGCGGAGGAGGTTCGAGGAGCAGAAAGTGGAGATATCCAGCAGCTCTGATTTGGACGATCCGATTGAACGACACTCGAAATCTGAAGAATTCAGAGCAACTAAAAAAGTAGAGCCTAAGGACAACCTTCAGAAAGAGATCACTGATGTCGATAAGGACTTCTTCGATGGCATACTCAAAAGGTCCAAGGAAAAGCTGGAAGGTGGATTATCGGGAAGCTCCAGTTTTGGTCAGGAAGATTTCTCCCATTTTCTGAAACTACTGCAGGGCCAGAATGATAAGGAGAAACCTTTGGAAAACCAAGATAACGCATCATTTCTTTCGGTACATAAATCACAGGTGGTTACCATTGATCCCTGAAATTAAGAATTTATTATTTTAATCTTATTATTGACGTTAAGTTAATGTTTTTAATTCTGACATCCGCAATTGTAGGGGGGAAATTTTGTAGATATTTAAATAGGAATCAGTAACGATCAATGAAAGATTTCTTAATTTTCAGGCACAAAACAACGGAGAGAAGAGTCCTGCATTTCCTGAAAAAGAGATCTGGGAAATTCTAGAAAAGGAATTTCCTAAGGTTGAACCAAAGAAACCGGTGCATGAGATCGTAGAATCAGACTCCAGTGGAAGATCCGGTCCTACGGAGAAGTCATCGAAGAGTCAAGGATCTTGTTCCGGGCGCTCCGCCACAGATTATTCAAAGAAAAATATTTCTACACAGAAATATTCCAAAGAGCGGAAGTGTTTGAAGCAGAAAGTGAGTGAAGATAAAAAAGTGAAGGATTCAAATAATGAGCTTTACGAAGTAGGTCTCACGCCGAGATTAGAACTGTTTGCTGATGCGATTCCGAAACTCATTGCTGAGAAGTCCAGTGAAAACTTGAAGAAGCAAGAGCAAGAAGAAATTGAGAAAGTCCACAAAGACAAGGAAAAAGCCCAAAGTGATGTGCGAGTTTTGACTCAACAGTCTTCAATGGAGCGAAATGCTAAACATCCTGAAAATATTAGCCATAAGGAAACTCCCAAAGATGCCGAAGAAGCTGTGAATTTAATTTTAAGAAAAGACTCTCCACATGCGCAAGTGTCTAATAATCCGACTATTAAAAATTCTACGTTTGACAAATCCAAGTCCAACGAACAAGAGTGCAGACCCATAAATAATTTAACCATGTCGTTGGATAATATCAAAGACATAAAGCCAGTGGAACCGTTAAGAAAGTCAACTGTTGTCGTGCCAAAGAAATCCCCTTTATCAAAGTCGAAGTTGCCACCAAAACCAGTGTCAAAGTTTGTGACTAAGGTGAAATTATCTCCGAAACCTAGAAAGGATTCTAATGTAGGCTTAGCTTCGGTAGCTTTTGGATCTAGGGTCCCTATGGTTAAATCCACGGAGAGCCTTTCGAAGTATTCTCTTGCCGGAGGAGACACAAAAAGGAACTTATCGAAGAGCGACTGGGAAGTGCTATGTCGCGAAGAGAGACATAAAAATGCTTTGTTAAAAGGTAAATTGAAACTTAAGTATCGATAACTCATAAATACTCCCATGTGCCGATCTCTTTATTTAAATATTAATTACAGATAATATTAGCTATACTATTTCGATTCACTTTTAGAACAAATAGACTCCGAGGCGAAGTTATATAAGACCCAGATGGAGAGCATGCGGACAGCTTTCGAGGAAGAATTGTTCGCTTTAAAGAAGCAAAACATCCTTTTGAAAGCCAAAGTCGACGAGATGTCGCTGAACGAGAAGAGACCAGAGGTTCGGAATAAAAATGACGTTAAGCTTCTCTCTCTGGAAAGGGAACTGAACAAACAGGAGAATCTCATTCAAGCTTATGAGGTTGAGAACAAGAAATTGGTGCAAGAAGTAAAGTGTTTACAGGTACGTTATAATTGTTTAATCACTTTGTGAATTAAGGTGAAGTGAAACCCCCTTCAAATCAGTCGATTCGAATTCAACACTTTTTTTTAAGGGTATTAGACTAAACTGTCCGAAACTTTGACACATCACTCCTGATCATCTAAGAATTGTCCTGACACCTTTAAAATGATATAAAAACAATCAATATAAAAACGAACGTCGGCAACGTAGGCATTTAGAAAAATCTTCTCTATCGACGTTGATCAAGTTTCTCGATGTGTTTCACTTCACCTTAAAGTGGAGAGTATGAGTATGAGTGCTTAAAGAGTTTCCAATTCTAGCAATGAAATTCATCTTTCTTACGTTGCAGGATCAAATGAAGAGTATGCAAAAGAAACAAAAGGCTGCTCCAATGCAGGCCAATGAATCGCAGCAATTGTTGGATCGCATAAAAGATTTGCAGGAAGAAGCTCTGAAGACTCGCTTGGAGGTCTCTGCCCTTCGAGAGAAGAATACTGACTATTCGATGAAGAACGATGACCTGATCCAGCAGAATAGTTTGCTTAAGGAGGAACTGGAAATGTTTAAGGAGCAATTACGTACAAAGAATAACTACATAAACGATCAGCTGCAAATGATGACTACTGCAGAATCAGAATTGAAGAAACAAGTCGAGGACCAGAGGGTGGAGTTAGGTTCGAAGACGGAGCAACTGAGATCGACAAGATTTGAGTTGGAGAAGCTGCGCCAGGAAGTTCTTCCCATGGAAAAGGAGTTATTGGACCTGAAACAGAAAGAAGTGTACATGAAGGAAAAGCTTCAGGTGTCGAAGAGTCACGTAGAAAGGGAGAAACAGCTTTCGCTGAAATTGAAGGATCAGGTAATCCTGGATAATAAAAGGATCCTGGATCTGACTCGTCAGGTGCGAGAAATGGAGAGGATCCTGAAGAGGAAGAACCCAGACTCTGTCTCCGCTCTGATACTTGCTGCCAACTCTGAACACGAAAAGATAGGAACGGAGAAGGTCAGGCTTCTAGAAGAAAGGATTACGGTTCTCGAGGGGGAAATTAAAATCAAGGAAGATAGTGCTCAACGAATGCTCCTTGATTTCCAGAAGAAATTTACCGAAATGAAAGACAGATACGACTCGCAGGTAAGTGGATGAAAGTTCCCTTATTGCAATTCTTTCTAAAATTTTAGATTATTAAGGTGATATCAAAGAGGCAGCTTATATATATCTGAGAAGTTAAATCGTTGGGGAAAGGATTCTCCGAATTGCGGTTACCGATTCGTTTGAAATTTTACCACGGGAATATGGAGGCGCTGAAGTAGGTCCTGAAAATCATGAAATTTCATTTTTCATTAAAAATTTATTTACTTAGTATGGACTGGAACCAACATGGCGTGGCTCGGGCACGTTTTCTATGTTTTACGCTTCTTGGAGGGTTAGAATCGAAAATGAAGAGTTTTAGGACCTAACTCGAACAATTTAGAATACCGTAGAAATGAAATATTACAGAGTTATATGGGAAAATATGGAAAATACTTTCACCAACGATTGCAAGAGATTGGTGGCTTGTCTCGGGGCTAATGCGTTTTTAGAGAAAAAATTTAGTTGCAGCTAAACGTCACAGATGGCGACGATGGTCTTAAACAGTCGTTAGAATAATGAATTCTCGGGATTTCGACAGCTTTACGTCGATTTCTTTTTAATTACATTACCGAAATGACACATGGAACGCTTCAGTTCGTATAATTATCAACGTGGAATATAAAAAACATCAATATAAATATAAATGTCGGTAACGAGACGCGCCAGCTTACGTTTCCACTTGAGTATTGAAAATGACGTTCCCACGAAAAAGGGTGCAGATGAATTACAATTTATTAGACCTGGATTAAATTTCTAAGCGCCTTTCATATCATCTTAAATGTGTAAACATAACTTTGCGGTATATCAAGTGAACTAAACATTCCATTAATGACGATTACAGGTGTTGGACCTTGAAGGGAAACTTCTCGAGGCGACTGAAATGAAGCGCAAGGTCTTTAACGACATGTTCACTCAAACTGCGAACACGCACGTAGAAAGTAAAGGAGTTGAGACGTTGAAAAGAGAAGAAGCCACCAAAGCAGCGTCTTTCGATAGGGATGAGAAGAAGGAACCGAAAGCCGTAAAAGTTGGGCCAAAGTCTCAGAACCCAAAAGAGGATGCGCATCTGATCGCTACCATTCGAGGGCTCAAATTGGAGTTAACTAACAAGGAGAAGACTGTCTCGAAGTTGACCAAAGAGTTTCAGGAATTGCAGAAAACTAACAGGAGGCTTCAGAAGGAGCGCGAGAAGCTACTGAACGAAAGGAAGTCCGTCAGAAGTTTGGAAACCGATAGGAATGGCAAAGGACCTTCCGATCCCAAATCGATTACCCCGAAGACTACAGAGAACGATCAGAACTCCAATGTGTATCAGAATGGACACTTGCCAGCTTCCAATTCTCAAAGACTTTCCGCCTCGAATCAGAGACTCTACGACCCTCTTCAGTATTCCGAATCCGGAGAAACGGCCACAACGAAAAGACTCGTCAACGAAAACGACATCTTAAAGGAAGAGCTGAACAAAGTGAACAGGGACTTTATGGCTCTGAAGAACAAGCGGCTTCATGATCTGAATCTTCTTCAAGAAGAACACGAGAGGGAGATGGCAGCTCTCGTCAAGGAATACAGCATCAAATTTGGTGACTCTAAAGTGGTAAAGTTGCAGGTACTAACAAAGCGCGGATGCCGATTTTTGTTCTCTCCTTTTTTTTTGTTTTCTTCAACGTATTGGCTGTAACAATTTTGGAGGAATGTTATTTTGCTTTTTGTGACGCGCCAGCTTATATTGCCACTTGAGTATTCTAATTGGCGTTGGATGTTCATTAAATAGAAAATTTAGTTGCAGCTAAACCTCACAGATGGCGACGTTGGTCCTAAACAGTCGTTAGAATAATGAATTCCCGGGATTTCGACACTTTTACATCAATCTCTTTATCATTACTTTACCGAAATGACATATGGAACGCTTCAGTTCGTATAATTATCAACATAGAATATAAAAAACATCAACATAAATATAAATGTCGGTAACGTGACGCGCCAACTAATGTTCCGACTTGAGTATTCAAAATGGCGTTCCCACCAAAAAGGATATAAATGAGTTTTAATCTATCGACATCGCTTACATTTCTCATCTTATTCTGTCGGCGATAATTTTAGTGCCGTACGGCGTGGTCAATATAAAACCCAACTAGAGTATTTAAATTACAACAATTGCTAGTAAATTATTTTCAATTAAAATTGATTAACCATTTATGCTTAGGGTCAGATTAATACGCAGGTCGCTGTAATCTCACATCTGAATTATTACATTTCTCAGCTTATTCTGTCGTCGATAATTTTAGTGCTGTACGGCGTGGCCAATATAAAACCCAACTAGAGTATTTAAATTACAACAATTGCTAGTAAATTATTTTCAATTAAAATTGATTAACCATTTATGCTTAGGGTCAGATTAATACGCAGGTCGCTGTAATCTCACATCTGAAGGAGCAGATTGAAAAGTTGAGAGACTACAAAGAGCAGGTGGTGGTCCTCAGAGCTGAAAGGGAGCATTTGGAGAACAAGGTGAAAAGTCTGACGGAGAAGGTGAAATACTTATCAAGCCCGGTAAGCAAGTGAAGTAAAACAGAGTCAAGAGAAGAAAGTAAAGGTCTCTTTCATTCGTGATTTCTTTTTTAGGGCACCGAGCAGCTCCAGTTGTTGCAGGATAAAATCACAATTCTTCAGCAGCGCCACGAAAGCCGGGAGATGACTCTACAAGCTTTGGTCAGAGATCTGCTCCGAAATAAGACTCAGTGCAAGAATTGCAAGGGGGAGACTGGGAAAAACAAGCAGCTCTGCTATTTCAGGCTAGAGCTGGACCACATCCTAGGAATGCTCCAAGAAATTGCGAACGAGCATTAAAACCGAGTTAGAATAAGTTCGAGACCTTCTTCAGATGGATGTCATAGCTGGGGTTCATTTCGAACCTAATTTAGCTGAAAAAGGAACGGCTTTTGTTAGAGTGTCAACACAGAATTTCTTAATACATTCGCGAGCGGCAAATTTTTTCCCTTTCAAATACTGAATACCGGCGAAAATAATGAAATTCTGAAACTGGTTGCCGCAAACTTGTGTCGTTAAAGTAAGGATAAAAATGATGAAATTTGTGCGCTGCGCCGCCTAACGATTAGTGAGCCAACTAAGCAGGACGTGATTTCACGTCAGCGGTCGCGAATGTGTTAAGGTGATATGAAAGGGTCATTTTATATATATNCGAGACCTCGTGTTACCATCGTTTTAGCATTAAAGCGCATAAGACACTTTTTTTGCCTTTTTCTCGTTTAAATGCGAGTTTATTTATAATTATAGTGTTCTTCAAATGATTCTATTAAGGAAGCTAAGGAAGATACTCCCATTTTTTACAAGAAAACATGACTGTGCTTCCAGTCTGGGCTAAATGAAAGAAATTTCTTTTTAAAAAATGAAATTTCACGACCATCGCGTTCTTCCTTAGGGCTTTCATAATCACGTGTTAGCGTTTCAAATGATTCGGTGCATCCAGTTTGGAGAAAAGTATTATTTATATATATATATTTACGTTTTGATATATAGAACGACCCTTTCATATCACCTTAATGAAAAGAAACAATGTTCAGCTATGGCCAGATTCGTCTTGGAGATTTAAATATCTTGTTGAGGTCAGGAAGACACTTTTCTTCGCATAGTCATTGAATATTGACGCTGAGGAGCATCGCACCAGTCGGGATGCCGATCTTCCCTCAGCTAGGAAACTATCCATAAAATCCTTCCATAAGTACGGTAAAAAAGACTTCCGTTTGTATTATCAGAGCTGAGTAGGGAGATGTTTCAGGCCATTGTCGAAAGGGAGGCACGGCTCCCTAGCGCCGTGTGACTGCTTTCAAAGATAGAATGAAGTTATCGCCCTTTTGTTTTTAGTATCAGGGTCGACTTAGGTTGTGAAAGAAGACTAGAAATACGAAACAAAGTTGTTATGCGTGGATGATTGAGATTACGACGCGGCACCCACGTATACCCTGTTTTACCGATCAGGAAGATTTCGCCCCTTTGAAAGTAGTTCCAATTCTTCCAGAGGTGTAAAGGGCGCAGAGGGCGCTAGTCGGGCGTGCCTCCCTTTGAAACGATGGCGTGAAACATCTCCCTGCTCGTCTCTGGCATCAGTCTGAGTGTTGTTTTAAAGATTGATACTAAGAATCTCGATTTCCGTCCCGGTAGAAGGATCGGAACTTCTCTTGTTAACATCTAAGTACTAAATCCCTGCCGAAGTGATGGCACGCATGTGTTGAATATACATCAATTAAGATACTCTTTTAGCGGGTTTACGTTTAACGCACATACATTAGATACACGCACACCTAATGTACGTTGATTACATGCGTGGCGTCGGTGATATCAGGGATGATCAGACTCGCTGGTTAAACGTTGATCAGATTTGACCTCTCCAAGGAAGTCCAAACGCAGTCAATTCGTTGCCGTAGGACGTCTAGCTTAACGTGATAGGTTTAAGTCGCTAGGAGGAACATTGTGATAAGCGCTATCAGGCCCTGATAGCAGGCAATTCGGGAGAAGTCACAACGAACTCGTCCTTTCGGTACTTGAGGAGTACCGGAAGAACACGAGACCTCGGAGCGGTGCTCTTCGCTCTCTGGAATCTCTTTTCGCAGCCTCGACGTTCACTTCCGCCGCGTTATCTTAGCTTGAAGGAACTCTCTGATAGCAAAGAGTATCGGCCAGTTGGCTGGAGAACTTTTTATCAGATAGATTTTTCCAGACAACTCGCCGACGAGGTGTCGATCTCGAGCCAGCGCGCGTGCCATGCAAAAGTGCCGAGGAGGTTCCCTCCACCTTCCGGCGTTTTCTTCCAAAGTTACTAGAGCCTAGTTCTCTTTTTATAGACACTTTTTCTTTCCGCATACCCGCTGTATATACTACCCGGTCAGAGGAGGTTATTTATTTAATATTTATCGAGGGCTCTCCACTTTGCAGTGAGTCGCTCGGTCTAGATCTCTAGCGCTCCCGCGATCGTCGCGCCACCCCGTAGCCGATAAGAGTACTAAATAGAACTAAGTAGGTCTTTACTTCCGTTTAGGTTGGCGCGTCTTTTCATCCTGGACTCTCGAAAGGATTCTGTGTGTCGATATTCCTAGATATTCCCTGCGAGGGAGTTTTAAGCTGATATGAAAGGGTCATTCTGTATATATGAAGCGTCGAAATGCTTATCATTTTTTTCTTCAAACTGGGGGCACCGAATCATTTGTACCTTAACACGTGATTATGGAGGCCCTAAGGAAGAACCCTGGTGAAATTTCATTATTCACAAAACAAATGTAGGTTTGGTTCTAGTCTAGGGTAAATGAAAAGATTCTATTTTTTTTGTTTAATGTACTTTCACGAGCATTGTTCTTCCTTGGGGACTCTGTTATCATGTGTTAACGATTCGAATGATTCGGTGCTCCCATTTTGGAGATGTTTTATCATCGTTTTGACGTCTTCTTATGTAAATTGACCCTTTCATGTCACCTTGATACGAGGAAATGTAACGAGAAAAGGCTCAGGGAATTTAAGAGGATAGGTGCGCCCCACTCTAGCGCCTCTGGCGGATAAATCTGTTAACTACCGTTTGTTGTTATTTTATTCGCTTTGTCGGCGCGTTCTAGTCTCATTGTCCTTGAAATTAAGTTCCGGTGGACGGTTTAATCGATTAATGTATCTTCACCTAGGAGGAATCATTGCAATGGATGGACTTTTATGAAAGCTTTTATGAGAGGCGCGTTTTATCGAATAATTTCGACTCGTTTATTGTTCATATTCGAGATTTTAGGTTAGAAAGATGTGTCAACGGCGAGGAAGCTGGAACACTTATTCCACATTTTCAGTATTCGTTTGAATGTATCGATGCACATTTCCGACTTTTTATATAAAACATAAGTCTGTTTCATTTTATTGCGGGATTAAAGATGGCCGTGTTCTCCTGTATCGCGCTTTTTCGCGTTTTTTTCCGGAAAAATGTAAACAAGAAACGTACAACCATCTCGCAGGTAAATGAGAACGCCGCCATTTCGAGTCAATTTGTACAAATCTCGTCGTACAATATATCTTTTCGAACTTCAACTATATTCCTGTCGTCATTATTGTCCTTTATAGGTACTTATCTCAATGTACATGGATTATTTTTCACTGCGCAGAGCAATGAAAAGCGTTTAAATTCATTTAACAGACGTATTCTTCGTATACAGTGCTAAGGTGAAGTGAAACACGTCGAGGAACTTCATCGACGTTAGTAAAGAAGATTTTTCTAAATGCCTACGTTGCCGATGTTGGTTTTTATATCGACAGCTGTGAATTATATTGGGTATTGCACTAAATGGCATACTCCACCTGTCGTTTCCGTACAATAATTATAAAGAAATCGAAGTAAAACTCCAGAAATCCTCTGGATTCATGGTTTCCGAGGCCCTAATTGACTGCAGAGGGACCCCCTGCGCCATCTGTGACTTCCATGTCAACTAAATTTTCACTCCGAGACCTCGTGTTACCATCGTTTTAGCATTAAAGCGCATAAGACACTTTTTTTGCCTTTTTCTCGTTTAAATGCGAGTTTATTTATAATTATAGTGTTCTAAATTGTCGTAAAAAAAAAAAATAAGTGTCTTATACGAAGCGACTGTTTTGAGGGGGCGGTTCACATCACCTTAAAAAGTGAATACCTAAAATTAATTCATGACTTTTTGATATGTTAAATCTTTGAAGACTGCCTTGCCTTATTTATTATCATAGTGTTCTAAATTGTCGTAAGAAAAAAGTGTCTTATTCGAAGCGACTGATTTGAGGGGGTTTACTTCACCTTAAAAAGTGAATACCTGAAATTAATTCATTACTTTTTGATATGCTAAATCTTTGAAGACTGACTTGCCTTGTTTATAGAGCCGAGAAACTGGGTCTAATAATTAAAGAGCACAAGTAATCTAACTCGTAAAATTTAGTGCCCATTACACTATTACGATGACTATTTCTAAGTACTCCAAGTATCTCATATAGTGACCCGAATAGATTTCTAGCTCCAATTTTAACAGGATCGTGCTATCAGAATTGGCCTCGACATTACGTTTAATCAGGATCTGCAATTAAACCGAAAATTAGTTATCCGATCTAGGCAACAATTAGATAAAACACTAGGCAAGGATTCCAATATTGAATGTACAATTTTCAGCGGAAACTTCTTATGGCACTATATATTTTATATATTTGATATATATAGAATGATCCNAAAAAAAAAAAAAAAAAAATCCGTCCACGTAATGATCCTAATAGGTTTCCGACCCTAACCCGAGGTGCCGAGATAAGCTAATCTCCCAAGGATATCCCGGTATCTGGACCGGCCCCAAGGTAAGGTCATTTCCTCCTATGGGTCGAGGGCCTCTTCCAAAGGAGACGGGGAACATGTACAATGACAATACCCGGCAAGATAAGGCAATGACGAGCGTAACAAGTGCGCGGGTGGGGATCCACGCTGGGCAGAATATATGCTGTCACAAAAACCAACTCCACTCAGTTGCACGACTTGATTTTACCTCGTTATTGCGTGGAGTGGCATATAACGACTTCCTCGCAATTACGGCTTTCTTTGGCACCTACGAATATATATATACCCAGGGGATATATTTACATCGAGCCTATTCAACATGTTGGGATTCTGGACTCTCTTCGTGTGGATGACCACGTGGGTAGTCGCGGCCAGACTCTTCCGTAGTCCTGGACCTGTTATCATTTTTTTGTTTTAATTAGTCTTTGTACTCGCGGTCGATATTGAAACGTTATTTGATAATAGATCATTTTCCACTCTTTGAAAAAGGAGCCATTTCGTCATACGGGCGAAATTCCTCTGACCGTGCAGGCAATATTGGACCTAACGTCGGGCGCCTTTAGGCGCTCTTAGTAGCCAAAGGGTTAATTGTAATCTTTTCTTTATGAGAATACAAAACGGGCCGATTTTAAGGGCTAGTTTTTTATATCCGTGGAAATAGAAGAACTTGGAGAGATTCGTTGAGCTTTCTGGACGACTTAATATATCGCTATAATAGCTAACCCATTTCGACATAAAGGCGAAATTCCTCTGACCGTGCAGGCGATATTGGACCAAACGTCGGGCGGATTTAGGCGCTCTTAGTAGCCAAAGGGTTAAGGGATACGTATTCTAATTTTGTTTGTTATTCATTAACGGTTGAATATTGAAAATCGGGGTCTGTAGATGTATTCGTTATTTATAAATACCTATATACAGATATAAGAGTGGTTATCAGGACTCTTCAACATGTTGGGATTCTGGACTCTCTTCGTGTGGATGACCACGTGGGTAGCCGCGGCCAAACTCTTCCGTAGTCCTGGACCTGTTATCATTTTTTTTTTTTTAAATAGTCTTTATACTTGCGGTCGATATTGAAACGTTATTGGATAATAGATCATTTTCCACTCTTTGAAAAAGAAGCCATTTCGTCATACGGGCGAAATTCCTCTGACCGTGCAGGCAATATTGGACCTAACGTCGGACGCCTTTAGGCGCTCTTAGTAATAATGATACATTATAAAATAAATGATAATAGGTACACTTTTCCTCAGTTTTTCTCAAGCTTTATATATAGCCATGCTGATAATGATACATTATGAAATAAATGATAATAGGTATACTTTTCCTCAGTTTTTCTCAAGCCGTTCCGCACGTAGAGTCCTCGGAGAACTTCCAGGTTTACTGGAACGTCCCAACTTTTATGTGCCATCAATATGGGATGTTCTTCGAGGAGGTTTCCCAGGCTTTTGGGATCCTCCAAAACGCCGAAGATCGATTCCGAGGAGATCGGATAGCTATTCTGTACGATCCTGGGATTTTTCCGGCACTGATAAAAGAAGCCAATGGTAAATTGAAAGGGTGAGCCAGGATGAGTTTTGGGTCATGCACGAGAAGTTATTCATAAAATTCGGATTTTTTAATTAAATTATTTTAAGGTCAAGTGAAACCCCCTTTAAATCAGTCTACTCAAATAAGACACTTTTTTTTAAGGTGCTCGTGAGATATGTGTCAAAGTTTCGGACAGTTCTATCTAATACACTTAAAAAAAAGTGTCTTATTCGAAGCAACTGATTAGGGGGGTTTCACTTCACCTTAAAATAATTTGTTTAAACAATACAAATTTTTAAAGTGTCAGGATAATTGTTTGGTGCTTGCTAGTCATGTGTCAAAGTTATGGATGGTTCAATCTAATATCCGTAAAAAAAAAAGTGTCTTAATCGAAGCGACTCATTTGAAGGAGTTTTTACTTCACCTTAAAATAATTTGTTTAAACAATTCAAATTTTTTAAGCGTCAAGATACTTGTTTGGTGCTCGGGAGTCATGTGTCAATGTTTCGGACGGTTCTATCTAATGCCTTTAAAAAAAGTCTTATTCAAAGTGACTGATTTGAAGGGGGCTTCACTTCACCTTAAAATAATTTGTTTAAAAAATTCAAATTTTTTAAATGTCAGGATAATTGTTTGGTGCTCGCGAGTCATGTGTCAAAGTTTCGGACGATTCTATCGTTACAAAAATGTGTTTTATTCGAAGCAACTAATTAGAGGGGGTTTCACTTCACCTTAAAATAATTTGTTTAAACAATCTAAATTTTTAAAGTGTCAGGATAATTGTTTGGTGCTCGCGAGTCATGTGTAAAAGTTTCGGACGGTTCGATCGTTACAAAAAAGTGTTTTATTCGAAGCAACTGATTAGAGGGGGTTTCATTTCACCCTAACCCTTGTGAGGACGGAGCTCTTTTGACATATGGGCGAAATTCCTGAAGACGTGCAGGCAATATTGGACCAAACGTCGGACGCATATATGCGGCGGTAGTTCGCCAAGAGTTAAAAGACCGTTCTGCGGTAATAAAAAACAAAAAAAAAGGTCCGGTCGAAGCAGTAACTTTGGACAAATTTAGGGAAACTGATGCGGAGGAACGGAGGGGTGCCGCAAGAAGGAAACTTGACGTGGCACTTGCAGCTTTTCATGAAGCACCTCTCGGAGCAAATCCCAGACGAGGATTTTCAAGGATTAGGAGTGATCGACTTCGAAAGTTGGAGGCCGATATTCCGACAGAATTGGGCGTCTTTGGCCCCATATCGCGATCTGTCGATCGATATAGAGCGGAATCGACACCCCCTTTGGGATAAAAAATCCCTCGAGAAGGAAGCTGCGAGGCGTTTCGAAAAAGCTGGGAGGCTGTTCATGGAGGAGACTCTCAGGGTGGCGAAAAACTTCCGACCAAAGGCCACGTGGGGGTATTATGCTTACCCATACTGCTTCAATCTTACCCCATACGAGCCAGGAACAAGATGCGATCCTCAGGCTTTGAAGGAGAACGACAAGTAAGGGATAATCTGTACATTAAGGTGATATGAAAGGCGGTGAGAAATTTAATCCAGCTAAGTTAAATCATTTTTTGTCAAAAGTCAACATTTTTAAAGAGTCAAGATAATTCCTAAGTGCTCATAGGTCATGTGTCAAAGTTTCAGACGGTTCGATATAATGCTCTTAAAAAAGAAGTGACTGATTTGAGGGGAGTTGCACTTCACCTTAAGGTGATATGCAAGGCGCTGAGAAATTTAATCCAGCTAAGTTTAACTTTTTGTTAAAAATCAACATTTTTAAAGAGTCAGGATAATTCCTAAGTGATCACGAGTCATGTGACAAAGTTTCAGACGGTTTTATTCAATGCTCTTAAAAAAGAAGGGTCTTATTCGAAGCGACTCATTTGAGGGGGGTTTCACTTCACCTTAAAATAATTTTTCGAATAGAAATAAGATGATATTAAAGGTGCTGAGAAATTTAATCCAGCTAAGTTAAATCATTTTTTGTCAAAAGTCAACATTTATAAGGAGTCAAGATAATTCCTAGGATATAATATATATTTGAATGTCGTTAGAAATGATTAGAAATTCTATAATTTTCATTCTTCAGAATATCGCCTCTCTTTTCAGAATGTCTTGGCTGTTCGATCATCAGCAAGCTTTATATTCCTCGTTATATTTACGGTCAACCCTGAAGACATCGGAGAAGGTGGGCTTGATCAGCGGAAGAGTAAAGGAAGCTCTGAGAGTTTCGAGAAGATCCAAATCGAAACCCATAGTTATTCCCTACTTTTGGTACAAGTACCAAGACAAGAGGGACGTCTTCCTGGACATGGTGAGTCATTTTTAAATGTTAAGGTGAAGTGAAACACGTCGAGGAACTTGATCGACGTCGATAAAAAGGATTTTTCTAAATACCTACGTTGCTAAGTTGAAATTCTTAATGTGGTCCAATATCGCCTGCACGGTCAGACGAATTTCGCCCATATGTCGAAATGGCTCCGTGTTCAAGGGGTAAAAAATGAAAATGTTGAAATTGTCAGAACAATTCATAGGTTCTCACGAGTCATTTGTCAAAGTCTCAGACATTTCGGTACAATACCCTTGGAAAAAAAGTGCCTTATTCGAGTCGACTGATCACAGGGTGTTTCACTTCCCCTTAAAATCATGCTGATAACCTCTTATCAATGAAGAAAATCGGTAAACTCTGCGAACATTTATTTTTTGTTAAATTTAGGAGAACATCGACAATGGTCTAAGGGAAATCGAGAACCTCGGGGCCAATGGAGTCATCATTTGGGGCAGTTCGAATGATCTGAACAATAGAACAAAGTGCCAGGATTTCAGGGACTACCTCAACAATGTTCTGGGTCCGATTGCTAAGAGGCTGAAGGACACCAAGAGCAGAAATTTGTTTAAAAATCTCGGAAATGCAGAGATCAGTTCAGAAGAGGAAGTCTATCTTCAAGGAAACGAATCTGATGAGAACGACCTCAGCAGCAACGAGCGGGATGAAACGATTTTAGGAAACGACGTTGCTGGAACTATCTCGCAACATGGCCGGGTTGCTGGAAGACTTTTTAAGGACGAAGATGTTAGCAGGGAAGAAATAGAGTCGAGTACAAGATCGAGTTGAAATTTGAGAACTGAGAGCACGGAGAATCCGTCAAGGTCTTCTGTTTTTGTTGGAAATTTCACGACGGGGATTTTTAACCCTTTGCATTCCGTTGTTTCCTCTGAGGAGACATTTTAAGTCTAGATGGGATAGCGCGGAGTGCAAAGGGTTAAAGGACCTGGTGGGGAAATTACCAGTTCAGATAGGGACATAATTCCCCCAGAAGAGACTTCGTAATGTTTTATGAGGTCATTTTTAAAACAGGAAATAATTGTTGATCCGGTGCAACCAGATGATTGTATTTGCGACGAGATTTGTCATATTGATATCGGATGGTGGAATTTGTTACAAGGTTCCAAGGTGCCGGTCGAATAGTTCGGGATTCTGCCACTAGGGGACTAAAGGATTCTCAGGGCAGATTCTTCTTTTAGAAGTCGGAAAGTCCAGAAGAAAGAGAAAAAGCAAAAGAAGCTCATCCTTGATTTCAGGAAAAAGGATCAGACGAATGTGAAGCAAGAAAGAGAGATTTGTCATATTAATTTCAAATAGTAGAATTTGTTACAAGGTTCCAAGGTGCCGGTCGAATAGTTCTGGATTCTGCCACTAGGAGACTAAAGGACTCTCAGGGCAGATTCTTCTTTTAGAAGTCGGAAAGTCTAGAAGAAAGAGTAGGAGCAGAAAAAGCTGATCCTCGGTTTCAGGGAAAAGGATCAAACGAGAGTGAAGCAAGGAACTAAGAGAATAGGTGATTCCGGGAAAGGATGTTGGAACCATCAGAGCGGAACACGGTCGTGGTGGTGGAGTAAGATTCCTTTAGAGTAAAGATCGCTTCAGAAGTGGAAAAAAAGTGTTTGGCGCAAGTCTAAGTTCAAGAGCAACGGCTGGAGGTACAGTGGCGGACATGATGTCTTCCCATCGCCCCCTGATACAAAATCCATGGAAATTCACATACATTTTGGCCCACTTCATAACTTAACCCTTTGAACACGGAGCCATTTCGACATATGGGCGAAATTCCTCTGACCGCGCAGGCAATATTGGACCAAACGTCGGCCGCCTTTAGGCGCCCTTAATAGCCAAAAAGTTAATTGTAATCTTTTCTCTATGAGAATACAAAACGGGCCGATTTTAAGGGTTAGTTTTCTATATCCGTGGAAATAGAAGAACTTGGAGAGATTCGTTGAGCTTTCTGGACGACTTAATATATCGCTATAATAGCTAACCCATTTCGACATAAGGGCGAAATTCCTCTGACCGTGCAGGCAATATTGGACCAAACGTCGGGCGTCTTTAGGCGCTCTTACGAGCCAAAGGGTTAATTGTAATTTTCTCTCTACGAGAATACAAAACGGGACGATTTTAAGGGCTAGTTATCTATATCCGCGAAAATAGAAGAACTTGGAGAGATTCGTTGAGCTTTCTGGACGACTTAATATATCGCTATAATAGCTAACCCATTTCGGCATATGGGCGAAATTCGTCCGACCGTGCAGGCAATATTGGACCAAATGTCGGGCGCCTTTAGGCGCTCTTAGTAGCCAAAGAGTTAACCGTAATTTTTTCTCTATGAGAATACTAAACGGACCGATTTTAAGGGCTAGTTTCTAAGGAAGAACTCGATGTTCGTGAAATTTGATTTAAAANATATACATATAGGATGACCTTTTCATATCACCTTAAGAAAATTGAGTATCGTTTGTAATTCCACTTAATTTAATTTGATTATATTTTGCACTTGATAGTAGTATCTATTCGACATAAGCGTATCTATTTTTGCGGAAAATAATTTTTTCGTTCAATGCGGCGGACATGAATGCCTCCTCTGTGAATATATCGCCAGCAGTATATAAAGAGAAGGTATTTATGCCCCTTAGTATGTACCTATACGTGAATTCATGTCGGGAAGGCATTTATGTCTGCCAGTATATAGTATCTGTGATGCCGTTCACGGTATCAGTATAAATCACTGGGGCGTATATGTATTTTGGTGTACGTGTATTTATGAAATATATGTGTGTGTTTTCTATACGTGATGATCATCAATTCCGGTCAGAGTCATCCAGCTTTCCACACGGAGAAAAATGAAGGGTCGTTATTACTGAAACTGCGATAACCGTTATGACAATGGAGCATACATTGTTAACAATGTTATTTCAAACACATCCGAATGAAAATACAAAAACGATGTTTTTACGTGAAAGTTTGTACGAAAGTATTCAAAATTTTGAATAAAAATTGAAGGGTCGTTATTACTGCACCTGCGATAACCGTTATGACAATGGAGCATACATTGTTAACAATGTTATTTCAAACACTTCCGAATGCAAATGCATATTAAAACCACAAAACTCGAAATGAAAACCGAACAAATGTGTATTACATTTCGAAAAACGATGTTTTTACGTGAGAATTTGTACGAAAGTATTCAAAATTTGGAATAAAAATTGAAGGGTCGTTATTACTGCAACTGCGATAACCGCTACAACAATGGAGCATATATTGATAACAATGTTATTTCAAACACTTCCGAATGAAAATACAAAAACGATGTTTTTACGTGAGAGTTTGTACGAAAGTATTCAAAATTTTGAATAAAAATTGAAGGGTCGTTATTACTGCACCTGCGACAACCGTTATGACAATGGAGCATACATTGTTAACAATGTTATTTCAAACACTTCCGAATGAAAATACAAAAACGATGTTTTTACGTGAGAGTTTGTACGAAAGTATTCAAAATTTGGGCAATGAATAATAAGCTGAGAAAAGAAATCGATTCAAATTGTTAATAAATGTACTACAAAGCGCTTTTTTCAAAATACTTACAATTGTGTATGACATAGTACATTTCGAAGACAACATTTCTACGTGAGAATTCATACGAAAGTATTCAAAATTTTGAAAATAAATGATAAGCTGAGAAAAGAAATCGGTTCAAATTGTTAATAAATGTACTACAAAGCGCTTTTTTCAAAATACTTACAATTGTGTATGACATACTACATTTCGAAGAACAACGTTTCTACGTGAGAATTTATACGAGGATATTCAAAATTTTGAAAAGAATTGGTAAGCTGAGAAAAGAGATCAATACAAATTGTTAATAAATGTACTACAAAGCGCTTTTCTCAAAATACTTACAATTGTGTATGACATACTCCATTTTATAGAACAACATTTCTACGTGAGAATTCATACGAAAGTATTCAAAATTTTGAAAATAAATGATAAGCTGAGAAAAGAAATCGGTTCAAATTGTTAATAAATGTACTACAAAGCGCTTTTTTCAAAATACTTACAATTGTGTATGACATACTACATTTCGAAGACAACATTTCTACGTGAGAATTCATAGGAAAGTATTCAAAATTATGAAAATGAATAATAAGCTGAGAAAAGAGATCGATACAAATTGTTAATAAATGTATGCTACATTTCGAGGAACAACATTTCTACGTGAGAATTCATACGAAAGTATTCAAAATTTTGAAAAGGAATGGTATGCTGAGAAAAGAGATCAGTACAAATGTTGCAAGTAGATTCTAAAAAATACCACTAAGCGACCAATTGAAATCTAACATGAAACTTTGAGTAGAACCTTAATTAGCATCGGAGAGATCCTGTTTCATTGAGAATATGTTAATGATCATCGGTAAACCTTCCACTAAATTCCACGACTAACCCATCTAATCTCCAAACCTTGTAGTATGATGATGCGATAGCCTCACAACTGGTGGCTATCACATCATCATACACCTAACTCATTTAACATCCCACAATTTGGTATCCCAACTTTTCAGTTTGTTTCCCATTAAGATCTGGAAACTTGGTGGAATTTCGCACATTGCGTGTCTTTTAAAACTACAGCTTCCATTTGTCCCGTTTTCATTTTCAGCGCCACCTTTTCTAATTTAATCACACATTTGTATTCGAAAATGTTCAAAATATCGAATGAATTTGCCCTACTGCTCATTTCAAACTTGGATTCTGTATTCGAAAATGTTCGAAATATCGAATGCATTTGTCCTACCGCTTTTTTGAATTTGAGTTATTCGAAATTCAATATCCAGTGTCAAATTTTCATTTCAAGTGCCGTCGTCTGCGGTTTTAACTGAACATGTATTTATATTTGAAAATGTCCGAAATATCGAATGCATTTGTCCTACCGCTATTTTTGAACTTGAGTTATTCAAAATTCAATATCCATTGTCCAATTTTCATTTCAAGTGCCGTTGTCTGCGGTTTTAACTGAACATGTATTTGTATTCGAAAATGTTCGAAATATCGAATGAATTTGCCCTACCGCTCTTTTTGAACTTGAGTTATTCGAAATTCAATATTTAAATTTATCCCCTTTTCATTTCGAGTGCCGTCGTCTGCGGTTTTAACTAAACATGTATCTGTATTCGAAAATGTTCGAAAAATCGAATGTTTTTGTCCTACTGCTCATTTTAAATTTGGATTATCCAAAATTCAATATCCATTGTCCAATTTTCATTTCAAGTGCCGTCGCTGCGGTTTTAACTAAACATGTATTTGTATTCGAAAATATTCAAAATATCGAATGAATTTCCCCTACTGCTCATTTTAAATTTGGATTATTCAAAATTCAATATCCATTGTCCAATTTTCATTTCAAGCGCCGTCCCTGCGGTTTTCACTATACATGTATTTGTATTCGAAAATGTTCGAAAAATCGAATGCATTTGTTCTACTGCTCATTTCAAACTTGGATTATCCAAAATTCAATATCCATAGTCCAATTTTCATTTCAAGTGCCGCAATTTCCAATTTTAGTCCACATCTACATTCTAAACTGTTGGAAACACAAAAAGCGCAGAAGAGTAGCGGATCTGGGTCCTTCGAAATTCAACATCCACATTTAACCCGTTTAGTATTTCTAGTGCCGCCATTTCCAATTTTAGTCCACATCTACATTCTAAACTGTTGGAAACACAAAAAGCGCAGAAGAGTAAAGGATCTGGGTTCTTCGAAATTCAACATGCACATTTATCCCCTTTTCATTCCTAGTGCCGCCATTTCCAGTTTTACTCCACATCTACACTCTAAACTATTGGAAGCATCAACAGGGTAGAAGAGTAGAGTATTTCGAGGTTAACCCGAGCTCGGTAGGTAATTCCATATCGGATAGAGTGATAGAAACCCCATTTCATTGAGGATATGTAAATGATCAGCAATAAAAACCCCCCACCAGTAGCGCCAAGCTAACCTAACCTAACCTAACCTTACCCGAAAATCCGCAGTTGCGTCGCGCCGCCTCGGATTTTCCTCGCAGCGGATGGCAGCTCCCTCGGAGCGTACTTTAGCACTAGGACACGACAAGTTTTACTGGTTCGAGGTGTAAGGCCCGAGGCGATGTTGCTTTTTCCAGTGGCCACAGCAGCGCGCTAGTGGGAAGGTAGTCAAAGCTCTCTCCGTCTCTCTTGGCGCTGCCCCTACTCCCCCCGACCTGGCGTCTCCTTCTAGCTCTCCTCTCCAGAAGAGGATCGGCTCCGGGAGAACGGAACGGGAACGGGAACGGCTTGGAACCGAGCGCACCGAGGAGGAGGTGGTCATGGTGGAGGTGGACGAGAGAACGGAACACGAGAGATCGGCAGCACAGTTTCGTGCTCAGCTCGGCTCGGCTCGGTCAGCTCGAAATCGGCTCGACTCAACCTGGTCCGCGACCCTGACTCGGTGCGCATTCGTATCCAGCTAGGTCTTCGCCAGGGATCAGCTCCTTCGGACCCGCCCCCGTTCGGGACCCAGCTACGCCGATCAGCAGCAAAGTTCCAAGCCTTCCGACCCTGGTTAACTCCCAGCAAGGTGTCCCTTCCGCCCTCGGCACGCCATTTTGGTGTCTGACATGAAATCGCAGACCGATTCCGGTTGGTCTCGGTATCTTCGGGTCTAGGTCTGCGGCTGGTGATTCGGGGCTGGTGGAACTAGGGAATTTGTCAAGGCGAGTGGATTGCTCTGACCCGACCGAGAGGAGAAGATTGCTGGTGAGTCCGATGATCGGTTTCGACGATGTGGATTTTACAGCGCTTAGTGATGGTACCTTTGCGTCGTCGCAGGGGATACGTTCTTGTTTGACATGATTAGAAATCGAATTTTCACGAAGGATTCAAAGAGTTTAGGTTTGCGGTCGATGTTTTGGGGAATTAATTTCAGTGAGTGGATTGCTCTGGACCAGCTGGGATTGACCCGACCGAGAGGAGAAAATTGCTGATGGGTCCGATGATCGGTTCCGACGATGTGGATTTTAGAGCGCTTAGTGATGGTAACTTTGTGTCGTCACAGGGGATACGTTCTTGTTTGACATGCTTATAAAGCGAATTTTCACGAAGGATTCAAAGAGTTTAGGCTTGCGAATCATGTTTTGAGGCTGTTGGACCTGGGGAATTACTTTCGGCGAGTACCAGCTGGGACTGATCCAATTTCGACGCGGAGATTGCTGGTGAAGCCTCAAATGTTGGACCTGGAGGATGTTTTGCGTCGTGGATGTTGGATTTTTGTGGTCTTGCGTCAAAGGATTAGCATTAACGTGTTGGTGTTTGATGGGATCTAGCTGATCGGTTTTGACGATGTGGGTTTTAGAGCGTTTAGTGATGGTAACTTTGCGTCGTCGCAGGGGATACGTTGTTGTTTGGCACGATTACAAAGCGAATTTTCACGAAGGATTCAAGGAGTGTGGATTCAACGTTGTGTGGGGGTTCGATTTGGTCCCCAGTGGTTCCATTTCATCGTTGTCTGGTATTTAGATGAATGAAGCTGGGTCTAGGATCTTCGTAACACCCATTTGAGTGCATTAGACCAAGAATCGATGAAGTGGCGGAATCCGAAGGATTGATTATCAAAAGATCATAATTCTAGAGACTGACTACTGCGATTAATAATGTTGTGTGGAGGTTTGGTTTGGTCCCCAGTGGTTCCATTTCGTCGTTGTCTGGTCTCTACACACACGAAGTTGGGTCTAGGATCTTCTAAATACCTATTCGAGTGCAGTGGGCCAGGAATCGGTGAAGTGGCGGTGCCCGGAGGATCGATTATCAAAAGACCATAATTCTAAAGACTGACTACTGCGATTAATAATGTTGTGTGGAGGTTTGGTTTGGTACCCAGTGGTTCCATTTCATCGTTGTCTGGTCTGTACACACACGAAGTTGGGTCTAGGATCTTCTAAATACCTATTCGAGTGCACTGGGCCAGGAATCGGTGAAGTGGCGGTGCCCGGAGGATCGATTTTCAAAAGACCATAATTCTAGAGGCTGACTAATGGGAAAGGTGTTGACTCTCGAGGGTGTCGCTGTTCTTCGGGGGCCCTCCGTCCTCTCGAGGATCCCAATAACCTAATTGCCGGGCCAAATATAGCTTTATCATCCTGGACGCGAGTCACGGTGTCCAGTAATATGATCCCGCTCGGTCGCCATCTTTTAAAAGCAACAAAAGACACCGTGTAAGGAACAATCTCCTCGGCCACCACTGAGAAACCCATGGATCTAGTTTCTTGTAAACCAATAAGTCCGGATAATCCGGGAGAAGCGTTAGTCCTGCGATCGTTCACACTAACGGTGTGCGAACGTTTAAAAAATATAACAATATTACTTTTATATACAAATATATGGAACAAATTAACAAATACGAGATGTGTGGTACGTAAAATGGCCGCTAGAGACCCCTGGTGTAAAATCTCACTTAGTGCTCCATTCTTTTCTTCATAAATACATAGTAATAAAGTCAGGCGTCATCTATAGGGAATTTCTATAAAAGGGGAAGGCTTTTTATAGTTAATTTGCATTCTCAAACGCCGACAAGACAGTAAGACAATCATCCATGGAACTGTTTTGTGTGGTAAAATCTGTCAGAGATGAGACGCGTCACTTTTCATCATGGCCTCCACTAATATTCCGTCGATCTGCTCGTAAATCCATCATTGCGAAGCATTTACAGCCTACATACAAGGTAGTAAAAACGACGGTATGCATAACAATCCCTCATCGGCCATAATTCCTCCGAAGGCCCTTAAAGTTCCCGAAATCGAAATATATTGCTCCAACCGTTAAGGGGATACGAAAATGGCGTCAAAGGGGTCTTGTTTATGAAACTTTTCTCCAAAAGGGATGTACCAAATCGTTTCAAACTTGACAATGTGAATATGGAGGCTACAATAAAGGTCCTTAAAGTTCCCGAAATCGAAATATATTGCTGCAACCATTAAGGGGATACGAAAATGGCATCAAAGGGGTCTTGTTTATGAAACTTTTCTCCAAAAGTGATGTACCGAATCGTTTCAAACTTGACCATGTGAATATGGAGGCTATAATGAAGGTCCTGGTACCGAAGGCCCTTAACATTAGAACTACCGGCGGATTTTTTTTTTTGTATAAATATATTGCTCCAACCATTAAGAGGATACGAAAATGGCGTCAAAGGGGTCTTGTTTATGAAACTTTTCTCCAAAAGGGATGTACCGAATCGTTTCAAACTTAACAATGTGAATATGGAGGCTACAATGAAGGCCCTTAAAGTTCCCGAAATCGAAATATGTTTCTACAAAACATTAAGGGGATACGAAAGTGGCGTCAAAGGGGTCTTGTTTATGAAACTTTTCTCGAAAAGGGATGTACCAAATTGTTTCAAACTTGACAATGTGAATATGGAGGCTATAATGAAGGTCCTGGTACCGAAGGCCCTTGACACTAGAACTACCGGCGGATTTTTTTTTTATAGGATGGGCCATTTGAAACCAATCATTTTGACTGGTCTTGGTAGTTCTAGTGTTAAAGTTCCCGAAATCGAAATATATTGCTGCAATCATTAAGGGGATACGAAAGCGGCGTCAAAGAGGTCTTCTTTATGAACCTTTCCTCCAAACTCAGTGTACTGAATCGGTCCAAACTTTACAATACAAACATGTAGAATATAAGGAAGGTCCCAAAACCCATAAAATTTCAATTTTGTCAACATTTGTTCATAGATGTTTTTAAAATTCCTTATAAAAAATGAAACTTCCTGAGTGTCAGGACCTCCCCTGTATCCTCAATATTCACGTTACAGAGTTTGAAACAATTCGACACCACCCCCTTCGTAGAAAAGTATGACGAACAATTAAGCTTTCAGATGTCACTTTCGCATCCCCTTAAGGGTAGCCCAGGGCCGCGGAAGGGGAGGGGGGGGGGTGTCGGTAAATTTGGCGAAAACGCGAGCAGGCCCTTCGGTAAGAAATGGTAGCGCCGACGGAAGGGTCGAGGAAGACGAAGGGACCGTTTTAAGGAGGCGAGCATTAAAAACAACAATGTCATTACATTTTAACGAGCTGTTCTTGGGTGCCCTCCTATAAACTGCGTCGTCGGGGTGTTGGTTTGCAGGCATGTGGTCCACGCGGGGTCCCGGGGCCCAGGGCGCCCCCCTCCGTTCCGCAGATGGGTCCGTGGTGGGGGTAGGGCCCCTCCGCCCCCCTCCACCCGCGGCGGGGCCCGTTCCCCTCCCCAGCGGCGACACCGACCATTACCACCCCGCCCGCGGCGTCCCTTGGGGCCGGGGAATTAGTATGGGTGAAGAAACAAAAGCAGGACGACCGGGCCCCGGCTATGAAAAAAGACGAGCGGAGATGGCGCCACACGTCCAGCGTGTTTTCGGGGCATCCTCCGGTGCTGTTAGCGGGCTCCTCTTTTTTCCTCCCTCTTATACCGCCTTTTCTCCTCTTTTTAGGCGGCCCTCCCCTCCGGTGCGGGGATCGCCGGGCCCTTATAGCGGTAGCCGGCTATCTCGCACCTTGGGAAACCGTCCGGCTTGGGGTGGGGGCTTTGGGACCGTTTTCCCTCGTCAATGGGCCCCCGGTTTCGGTCCCAAAGACCGGGATTTATCTTGCCCGATTGGATCTTATTATAGGGACGGTCTGGTGATTATTAGTTTTTCGGGAGATAGGACTTACCTAGCCATTTGCCTTCATGTGGGGGATGGTTCTACTGAGGGAAGATGCTGCGCCATCTACGAGAAAAAGGATGATGCAGAATTCATTGGATTTCTTTTCTTTTTTTTTTATTGTTCCGCGGTATGCGGTAATCGTATTGTAGTTATTTGTAACACGATGAATGTCTTACTCCTTTGTTCGGGGAATCTTCTTCGCGGCACGTGGGTCGGCACTTATCGCAGGTCTTGCACGTATATCTTCCTTCCTAGCGACATTCTTAACACGTGTACAGGATAGAGAGGGGAGGCGTATGCGTAATCCTCGGGCTGTCCCCGTTAACGCGGGACATATTCCCATCCTTCCGCTTGAAAGATTCGATCATTCGCGGAACTTTCCATCGGCGCGGGACTGACACGGCCGTTCGTTTGCCGACGGTGCACGGTCCCGATATGCACGTTTATCACGACTTCGACTCGCTGGGGAATTCCCAGGGGCCTCAGAAATCCCCCCCTTGGATATACGAAATCCAGGGAAAAATTAATATCTATACTTGCGGAGTTACGTCCGCCCTGGAAACCATAAATCGCCCTCGAAGGATCGCTCGAGTTGCGAGTTCACCGATTTCCAATATGGCGGACTCGGCAGCCGTGCTTACACCAGCGTGCCGATACTCGCCCTCGTGTGTGCGTGTACGTTTGTGTACGCGTATATCTATGTTACGTATGAACGCGTACATATACGTACACGCGTATATACTTTCAACGTGCACATGCACGCGTGTATACGTGTATATACTTTCGACGTGCACATGCACGCGTGTATACGTGTATATATTACCGGTGTGCCTGCACACGAGTGGCATGCCAGGGCAAAATCCTCCGTCTCCGTCTCTCCCGTTTGACCCAGATGCGTCCCTCTCTCTCGCGCGGCTTCGTACTCCTATGAGCGCCGGTCAGCCACTCGCGCGCTCCCCACCCATACTTACCTCCTCGGCGGTCGGCGCGGGACTGCGCGAAGGTGATCGGGCCGCGCGCCCTGCCGGAGTTGATACAGGCGCGCGCACACTTCCACGTCGCTAGGCGGCCTTAC